AGAATTCGTAATTCTTAAAGAACATTTATAGTGCACATTAAGTGGGAGTGTTAGCAATATGAAGTATTATTGATGATGTAATGTTACACTATAATATTATTGCATGAAGTATTTATGTTATCTTAGCACATGTTATGTTATACGGGAAGCCATGAACTATTTTTTTCTATCAATTACATTTCTATTCTATGTATTCCTGATTTCTGATTGTAATGAATCACTCAAATATCAACACACGTTACGAAGTTGGTCTGCCATGGAAAAATGATCATGTGCAAATTGATGACGATTACAAACTCTGTCATAATAGATTGAGATCATTGCATCAAAAACTGCTAAAGGATCCACAAAATCGTGAAGAATACAATAATGGTATTACCGAACAATTGGCAGCAGGAATAGTCGAAAGGGTTCCGGCATCTGATAATGATTATGGTAAAATTCACTATCTTCCCCATCATTGTGTCATACGAAAGGATAAGGTTACTACGAAGCTACGCGTTGTATATGATGGATCTGCTACAACAAACTTGCGTAACTTTTCACTAAACGATTGCTTACTGACCGGGCTGAACCTCATTCCACAAATCTTTGATTTGCTCGTCAAATTTCGACAAAACAAGACTGGGCTAGTTGCTGACATTGAGAAAGCATTCTTAATGATTGGAATTGACAAGGAAGATAGAGACATGCTTCATTTTTTGTGGCTAAGGGATGCTAGGGATCCTCATTCAGAAGTATTTAAGCTAAGGTTTTGTCGATTGGTTTTCGGTCTACGACCTTTGACAGCAATTCTAGGAGCTACTATCAACCATCATTTGAAGACACACGAGAAGCAGGAGCCAGAAACTGTTGGACACTTGAAAAATTCTCTGTTTGTGGATGATTTTGTGTCCGGTGCTGAAACCGATGAAACCGCTTTGCAAATATACAAGGGAACAAAGCAGTTGATGGCCAAGAGTGGATTCAACTTGCGAAAATGGAACTCGAATTTCAGTAACGTAGTAAGGTCTATCGATGAGTTAGAAGGTAGCAAGAATTTGAGCTTTATTTTTGACAAGTCAAGTGTTACTGAAGATGGTCAGTACTTAACAAAGTCGACAATTGCAAAAGAGTCACTGCTCACGGAACCCACTCAAGTCAAGGTACTAGGAATGGTGTGAGATACGGTGTAGGACACATTTTTGTTCAATTTGACTGAAATAATCGAGTACGCCAATTCTTTACCTGTCACAAAGCGATCGTTGTTGAAATGGTCATCTAAAATCTTGGATTCTGTTTCAAATCATGTGCTTGGATAGACTGTAATGGGACTGTGAAATGCATGGCAATCTACGTGAACAGTGGAACATTTTATTGTCAGAGTTAAGGTTTCTAAATGATTTTCGTGTACCGAGGTGCTATTATCTACCCCAACCGAAATACTTTACTACACAAGTTCATGGATTCAGTGATGCATCTGAAAGTGCAATTGGTGCTGTTGCCCATGTAAGAAAAGTTTATGAGAATGGTACCATCGACGTGAAATTGATCGCTTCAAAGGCAAAGGTCGCTCCAGTGAAAGAGCAAACGATTCCTCGTTTGGAGCTGGTGGCAGCGTCTATATTAGTGAAGTTAGTAGAGTCTTTGTTAAAGGCACTCTAGTGGAGTCTGGAAGTTTTTTATTGGTTTGACTCGATGACAGCATTTCACTGTATACGAAACGATCGAGCATGGAAACCATTCGTGCAGCATCGAGTGAACAAGATTCGAAGTATTTCGTTGACAGAATCTTGAAACTTTTGTCCTTGATCGCTTCATTCTGCAGTTTACCCCCACGAGGCATTTCTGAGCAACTACTTTCAAATTCATCCTTTTGGTACAATGGACCCAAATTCTTGGCAAGGGGCGAAGAAGAGTGGCCAAAACGTACAGTTGGCAACCTCTCACAAAGTGACGAAATTCTGAAGAAAATTGTGAAAGAGCATCCGAATGTCGTGAGATCACTAGTTTCGAATGATATCCAACAACGAGCCATGCCAGATCTTAACAAAGCAATCGACATTACTCGTTATAGCTCCATGAAGTGAGTTCTTCGAATAACTGATTATGTAATGAGATTCATCAACATGTTAAAGTTGAACAAACAAACTCACAACCTCAGAAGAACTAAGCTCAGGCGAAATAAGGAAGGCGCAGCTGCTATGGATAAGGTCTATTCAACAACTATCCTTTGAAAAGGAAATATTATTCCCTCTGTCAAAGAATGCGAATCAATACCTATTTATATTAAGCAATTTGGGCTATTTCTCGACGGTGATCACGTGCTGCGGTGCCATGGAAGATAGAAGAATTTATCGCTGAATCTGGTGAGCAAAAATCCTGTATTGCTTCCAAAGGAATCAAGATTTGTCGAGTTACTAATGTGCGGGGTTCACCACATTGTGAAGCACAGCGGGAATTTTGATACACTAACAACCATTAGAGAGCATTTTTGGATAATCCGTGGTCGAGAAGCAGTAAAGAAAATCGTCGGGAATTTTGTTGTTTGTCGTAAAACTGAAGGTCTTCCTTATGGGGGAACGCCTCCTCCAGATCTTCCTGTTAGCAGAGTGTCGGATGATCCCCCTTTCACAAACGTAGGTTTGGACTTTGCAGGACCGTTGTTCGTATGAGAAAGTTGCGATAGGAATAATTTGTCGGATAATCCAGCAAAGGTGTATATTCTAATGTTTACGTGTGCTTCGACTAGAGACATTCATTTGGAGCTCACTCTTTCTTTAAGCGTTCCAGTCTTTCTCCGCGCGTTTTGCAGATACGCTAGTCGACGAGCACTGCCAGCTCTTCTTATATCCGATAATGCTAAGACTTTTTGAGCTGCATGCTTAAAAATTTGCAAGTTATGTCGTTCTGAGTAAGTGTTACGCTATCTTGCAAAGCATCAGATTACATGGCAATTTATCGTCGAAAAGGCCCCTTGGTGGGGAGGCTTCTGGGAACGTTTGAAGCGTGAAACGTCCGTTGCGAAAGGTAGTTGATGGAACCAATCTAACCTACGACGAGTTGCCATACTATTGTGGTTGAAATCAAGGGCGTAATAAATGCACGACCCCTAACCTACGTGTACGTCGATGAAGAAGCTGTATCTCTTCCGCTAAGCCTCTCGCACTTGGTGTATTGAAGACGAATAACGACCATGCCAAACAGTGAACACTTTGAAATTCAGAGCACCTATCAATCTTTGACGAGAAAAGCGAAAAATCACAAAAATTTGCTGCAACGTTTTACTCTTCAATGGAGAAACGAGTATCTTTTTGCCTCACGACAGCATTACACTTCAAAATCTAGAGGTAATCAAAATCCCGAAATAGCTGTTGGAGATATCGTAATTTTTCGCAACGTTCAAAGAAACGTATCTTTTGGAAAGTGGCGAAAGTTGAACAATTGTTAGTAGTAGTTAGTAGTTTCGTATGGTCACACCTCCATGTGTGTCTCATCAAGCCAGCTTGCGAAGTTATCATCTGCTTTGTGCATTGTTGCGTAGCCGCCTTCAATGCGTGTGAACGCACATTGCAGGATGATATGGTCCATATTCTGGTTGGTGGCGTTACATGATGGGCAAGTTGGCGAGTCTTTGTAGCCCCATCGGTATAGGTTGTTTGCTGTTCTGCCCTGTTTCGATCTTATTCGGTTACAAGTGCTCCATTGTTTACGAGTTAGCTACTTGAAACCAGGAAGAGGGACATTTTGTGGGATCTTTAATTAGATCAGCACCCCTTGGTTTATTTTCGTACCATTGTTCCTTCCATGTATTGTTGAGGTCAAACGATTCAATCTTGGAGTTATAAAAAGGTTTTCGTGATTTTAGTCTCGAAGTAGTTGGGGCAGACTTGATAATAGTTTTTAGTGGAATGTCAATTAGTGTATTTTCAATGCGATGATGTTGTTTCTGTGTTGCTTCCTGTCTGCGTATGTTAGGTGGAGCTATAGCACTCATTAAAGGTAGCCAAGAGGTTGGCATTGATTTTAATGTTCCGGAAATTGTTCGCATTGTGTCAATTGTTACAAGGTAACAATGGAATCACACGAACTGCACAAGTCTGAGTCCTTCGCGGAGACTCTAGTCATTCACACTTAATGCGACGTTCTATCAGGCAACTTATTCCAATTGAGGCTCATCAGTAAGAAGACAGTAATGAAAGAGTAGAGAGCGATAAGAACGGCCAAGAACAAGTGTTTCGTCCAATTGATCGACAACAGCGGCGCGGCGCAGAAATAACAGGACAGTTGCGAAGATTGCAGAATACGAACAAGTTCTAAACAACTGTACATTCTTAGCTAAAAATAGTTTTGTTTCTTTTTGTTTTGTTTGTTGACAACATTTTATTATGTCAATCCTGGGGAGTGTAAGAAAGATTGTTAAAAAGGATAGTTCAGTGCATGAGGAGATCAGACTAATAACTATAAATGCAAAATAGAAAAAGAAAACATGTCAATCATACGTTAGTGATACATACATATAGATGGCCAACCAATACGTCTTGTTTATTCCGTCCAAAGATTTGTGATTTTATTTCGAACGATTTAAAATACACTGTACGTAATACCACTTTAAAATATATCTTGGGGGTGCTGCTAGAGATTTTACACACATCCCTGCACCACACAAACAGTCGACCACTGAAATGTAGTACCCACTTATCTTGGTTTCGGTATATACGTGCCTTTTTACCCATGTGCGAAAAAAGAAAATTGACGGACACGCCAGTAGCACTATTTTTATTGCAAATGTATTTAATAAATATTAAGCCGAAATCACAATTGGAGTATTTGTTGAACTATTTCGTAGACGATTATGAATTCAATCGTTTCTACACCATTCTCACTTATCACAAACAGAACGGTCCTATGAAAAAGTTAGTGCGTGTTTCTCTAACTAAAAGTTAAAATGATTCAGTTAAATTTTTTATGTAAATTTTTATTGTTATAATAAAAAGTTGTTAAATTAACTTTTTTGCCAGGAGATATTCTGTTGACTGTGGCGCCACTCAAAGACGACCAACAAACGTTATTGAGCCAATACAAAGAAATTGTTGAGAAGATTTTGCTTGAACCCTGTGACAAAGATAATTGTAGTAGTAATAACACCATTCTGACAAAAGGAGCTAGCAGAGGACATCAGATTCTATCAAACGATGCTGATCGATACGGAAAAACGATATTAGACAGCCATCAAGCATTTGATGGAAAAGTGTATGATGTGAAAAAAGAAGTTTATCGATTGACCGATCGCGTCGTTGCAGGACTTTCAAAGGTCTTTGGCATCGCCACAAATGGCTCTTTCGAAATTCTCGATGGTTTGTGTCAAAGTAATGTAATTTGCTCAAGTGCAAAGGAAAACATTTCAAGTGCGGTAGCAATTGCATTAAAATTTAGACTTAGTACCTACCTTTTAGCGGAAAAACAGGACGAAGCAATCAAGACAAGATCTAAGGACTCCAGCAATGAAACTTGGCTAGCAAACAGTGGACTAACTACTTACGACGTAGCAAGAAAAAAAGAACTGTTTCATTTTTTTTACGTGTCAACTCCACTGTATGAGTTGCTACGTACGTTTAGTGCTGACGACAGGATGAACTCAGAAGATTTTATGGGTAATTTGTTTTTTGATTGCTCTGATAAGGTTAAAGGACACATACACTGTCGTTTGTTAAACTACATTGCAGCTTTGGACTGTTACAAGCGTGCGCAATGTAATGTTAAATCTGACTATGAGAACATTGACTTGCGCATTCGACGTTTGAGGCTTGAGTTTATGTTGAGCATGAGCTCAGACGTTCTTTTCATTAAAGAGGAACTGAAAGTTATACTTGAAGAGATAGATAAAAAAGCTACAGATAGCAAAGCGAGCAAACATGAAAGAAAATTCTTGGACCAATTTGTTGATGTGCATCTGTTTCATGCGTCATTTTGTTTAAGCCAAGGGGATGTGGAAATTGCAAGAGAAAGTCTCGAGCAATGTAAGAATATAGAATCTTATGTTAGTGATTTTCAAAAGCTAGCTGTACGATTAAACATTATACATGTATCTCAAATCCAAACCAACCAGAAAGAATTCGATGATATCATATCTCAACTCAATGCACTGGTAAAGGACGAGGGTAACAGCGTCATGGGATTAATTTGGTTGAACGAATTAGGAAAATTTCTGATGCATCAAAAGAAGAATGCCGAAGCTTACCAGTGTTTGCAAAGAGCATTGTTGATGGGACGTATTTTGTTCAGTAACAATGTCAACTTTCATGTTTTATGGACTTTGTTCATGCTTGGAACGGTTTGCTTTCGTTCATTGATGTATGAGGAGGCTAAGTTCTACTTTTCAAAAATTCTTGAACCGCTACTGTCTTTAGATGAGCAAATGAGCGTCATCATGAAAAGAGAAGTGTACCGCCAACTAGCAACACTCAGTACCTTTACCGACAACCAAGAGGATGCAATCACTTTTTTTGAGAATTCTTTAGAATGTAGTAACATAAGTGGGGGAAGAGCAAATGCTGACCTTATGGTTGATGGTTTGACACATTGTGGCATAGCTACTACTTGGTTCAAACTAGGTGAAAACGAAAAAGCTTGGATATCAGCGTTAAACGCTAAAGATTGCCTTGAGAAGATTCCTTATAACCAAAATAAGGTATCACTTGAGTGCTTTGTTTCTAAAACCTTCATGGATATAGGTAAGACCAACGAAGCAATGTTATTGCTGAAGCAGGGACTTGCCAAGCAACACGATGCTGTTTTCAAAGAGAATTATTTGGATTCTCTAGGGCAATTATGTTTTAAGAAAGGTCTTAAAGAAGATGCAGAATACTATTACAAGAAATCTTTAGAAATATTGAAATCTGTAAATAGTGATACGCCTAAAATCATAGAAAGGCTTTTAAATATCGCCGATCTTTTAATAAACAATAAAAAATCGTCCGAAGCATTTATATACCTGTCAGATACTTCAAAATATGTATTGGCATTGGTCGATAGCAATGAAAAATGCAATTACTTAAAAAAGATGGCCTATAACTGGGAAGAGATGGGGGACTATTACGAAGCCCGAAATTGTTTGGAGCAAGCAGTCAAGGTTTGTGAATCATCTGAAAAGAACGCAAAGGTGCTACCAATTGATGAATTTGATTTGCATATCAAATTGAGTGACGTAGTTGCGAAGACTCTCGCGAGTTTATCGTCAAACGATGAAGTAAGCACCAATGAACAAATCAAAAATGCAAAATGGTTGCACTACGACCGAGCTGGCAATGCCTTACGACGACAACTAGCAACAGGTCAATTTAACTCTCAAACAGTTTCTTTGTTTCTTCTACTTGCATCCAAATATCATTCCATTGACTTGATGGAAAAAGAGAAACTTTTGCTTGAAGCTTTAGAAATAAGCAAATTGATATACGGACCTGAGGAAAAGAATAAACAAGTGGCTTCAATACTGATTGAACTAGCTGACCTTTACCTATCAAAAAAAGAATACGAAAGTGCAGCGAGTTTTTTTGAGCGTTCTTTACAAATGGATATGGAGATACATCGTTTGGATCCTTATCATATTAATATCAGCCATGAAATATTTGTCCTAACAGGACTTTTTGGAGTATCCACAGTGGCCACACATGTCAACAACGATACAGCAAGTTCTTATTTTCTTGGAAAAACACAGTAAAGAAGAAGCGTTTATGAACAGTGTTGTAAAAGCAAACTGCTTTACAGAAATGGCGCTTTTATGCTGTTTTTAGGAGATTTCAAAAAAGCAGAGACGCTCAACAAAATAGCTCGAGATATATTTGCAACAGTCAAAGAGAATGAGCTTCCCAGTAATATTATTCCCAACGAAAAATGTTGTAGTCTTATTGATCTCTTGGTGAATCGCGTAGCAAATGCGTCAGATGAGGTGTTGATTAAACTCATGCCTCTACTCAGAGAGATGCTATCTTCTCTTCCAGATGACGGGAAAGTCTGCAAAAGTGTCGGCAGCAGCAGTATTTTCTCGAACGAAGGAAAAACTGAAAAGAGTGCTGTTACATCATCACCCAACAAACCATTAATTGAGAATAAGGCTTCTGAGAATTCTTTCACAACAGTTACTACAATGGAGATGTCCAGGATTTCCAAAATTAACTCTAATTTAAAGAATGTTTCTGTTAGTACAAATGTATTGAATAGAAAAGAAGATTTAACTCTACTCCATGTCGCATCAAGAGAAAAACTTGATGTTCCGAGTGATGTACCAGAACTGATGCAAAGCAAAGACAGCGATGAGCAGAAAGTCTCGATAAAATTACATGCAAATCAATTGAACATAACCGATAAAAATGATATGGTATACTCTGTCGATAAAAATGAAGAAAACCCAATGTGAATCAATCTATTCACCAGAAAGAGATGTCACACCTGAATGTTAAGTTAGAGGAATTAAAAACGGATGTCCAAAATATCAGCTCTATCGCAGATTCTATTATGTATAGTAATAAGAGAGGTGATTTAGAAACGGGTCTGCAAACGACAAAGGACTCTCTGGACCCTCTGCTTGCATCATTTTATGGAAAGCTCTCCGGTGATCCAATTCAATTTGTACTAAATGAGGCGGAAAACGCTAGGAAAAAGAAAGATATTAATGCTCTAATGGGATCAATAGAACTTGCTTCTAAATTCTTGAAGTTCTCGAATATTGAAGATTCTAAACTAAAGGCAAAGATTTCGAAGTTAAATGGAGAATGTCAACTGTTAATGAAAAATTATAGAACAGCAGCTATTAGTTTTGATAAAGCAGTTTCTTTTCATCGTTCAGCCACAACAGAATTGGACCTTGATCATTATATTGAATACGCAGAGAGTTTGATTGGCTTAGTTAAGAGTCATCTGCTCTGCAACAAAGTCCAGGAAGCCCAGGGTATTTGTGAAGAAGGCCTGGCAATAATCTATTCTATTCAACCTCAATGGATAACATCTAGATTACTTGTACAGTTATTTTATCTAGCTGCAAAATGTAAGATTCAACAAGTTGCATACTCAAATGATGAAGACGATCTCAAACAAGTCGTGCTATTTTGTCAACAAGCATTAGAAACGAGTGAATTTGTAGACCATTCAAGTGGTACAAATGATATTACAGAGGAGCTTGGCTTGGAAAATGGAGAATTTTTTGCTTTAAAATATGATATCAGACTTCTTATGGCATCAACATTTTTGCGACAAAAAAATTTAGAACTAGCGCAAAAGGTTGCAAAGGAGTTGAGAGAATTTCTCCAAAACATCGTTGTTGTCTTAGAAATGTTTTCAAAAGACACATGGCCGGCTGGAAAAGATGATTTTTTAAGGATACAACTTCGTTTGTTTTCTTTGATTGGAAGGGCTTCTGTTATCACAAATGAAACTGAAGATGCATTGATTAACTTTAAGAAGTCCTTGGCAATCTTACTTCATCCAGACTGTCCAGAGGCAGTGGGAACATCGGAAGAAATCATCGCTTTGCTCGATGGACTTTCTGAAATGATTTCCAAAACCTCAGTTGAGAAATCATGCTGTCCTATTCAGAGTGCTCTTGAAGTATGCAAGGATCACTTCCTTGAAGTAAACGATAAACTTAATAAACTGTGGGTTTCTTTAGCGGCTTAGGAACATTATACATCAATGAAAATCGCATTGAGGACTCCATTATTGTTTTCAAAAAAGGATTGGAAATAGCTGAGTGTTTGGATGATCAGAGCGAAAGTCGTGGACAAGCGTTAGTGCAACTTGCCAATGCCTATAGACTGCAAGCTATTGCTAATAAGAAGGAGTTTGGGTCAAACGTCTTTGAGGAACATCACCTTGCAGAAAAGTACTTCCAAACTAAAAATGGTAACGGGAATGAAAACAGCAGCGCGATGAAGAACATTATGTACGCTTATTTCCTTTGTGAGGTAAATCGTTTTAAAGAGGCCACAATCATTTTGATGCAGACTGTTGAATATGAAACATTGTGGTCTAGAAATGTCTTTTGCGAATACTCAAAGGGAGTTCTTTATGGTTCCGATATTCAAAGTTATATTGAGTCATACGGGGAGTTATTTACAAGTATGGGAAACTTGGCTTACTCGCTACTAGTTCGCGCTAATGTGGAAATTAGGAACAAAAGAGAAGCAGTTAAATCGCACAATAAACTTTCCACAGATGGTCGAGATTTGCCAAAGATTTTGGGCGTTACAACTTCATGCCTTTCTTATCTACTCGTAAAGAGTGAGAAGTATTTATTGTCACTTATTGAAGAACCGGATAAGTTGTTGTTTGACGACTCTGATTTTCCACTATCGTTGGAGAATCTGGCTAAAGTGTACTACGAGTTAGAGGAATATGAACTGACACTAAAATTGTGCGATAGAGCAAGGAAATCGGATGAATTTTCATCAATTAGTTGCAAACTTTCAATTTCTCATCTTGAGGCAAATGCTATGGTTATGACGACAGGAAATTTTGCACATTATCACTATAAAATGTTCCTTGATTTGCTGCAACAAGAAGAAAATATTTTAGATAGATCGTTTAATGATCAACAGGCCATTCTTTCCCAGTACTCGTATCCCAGACCATATTACGTTTACTACTTACTTGCCAGCATGCTGGATGAAAAGAAAGTTGATAGAAAAATAGCATTATGTGAGAATTGCCTACTTCTGGATCTAGATTATGACATTGACCAGAATGTTGTGGGTACTCTAACAGACCTATATCAAACAAAGGCATTAATAGAAGGCAAGGATGATGAAATCGTTTATCACTCGTGGTTAGATAAAGCTCAATCCTGTTTTGAGGAATTAATTAACAGAAAAATAAAGATGGCGCCATTCGTAGAGATTTCTTATGCATCGTTCCTCAAACGAGCTAAACGCTTCGATGAAGCAATTTCTCATTTTGAGCAAGTACTTAGCAATGAGACACTAAATTTTAAGATATTGTACTCCGAAGTTGATGTACCTTTGTCTGATGTTTGCCGAGCGCGCGAAATTCAAGCAAGAGGAAAACTTATTTTGCATGCAAAAATGAGCGTTTATTATCAGTTGGTTCAGGTGTATTTAGAAAGCGGTAAATCGGAGAAAGCTGAAGAATGTGCGCTTAGAATGGAGGAATATGTTAACAGTCTTACATATGATCCGATTGTTCACTCCTTTCTTGCATACACATTAAAAGACACTGGACAGGAACGAAAGGCAAGGGATATACTTCAGCAAGTGCTGTATAGAGAACCTGATAACGAACCTGTAAAACTCGCCTTAGAAGAAATTCAAACGCTGGAATAAAGCAGATAAACTTCATATAGAAAATATATTTTATGAAAGTCATTTGAAAATTTTACTTGAGCTAATTGTGACAATTATTCGTTGCACATAAATAGAACAACATATTGACATGAGGAAGTACAAATTTGACTTAAGTCTTGATTTTTTTCATAAAGCTCTGTTCAGACAGGAAAAAATTAAAGAAGGAAATTAAAAAAGAAGAAGGACCAGTTTCATTGACACTAATGCAACAAAGACTAAAGAATCCAAAAACTGCAAAATCCTTTCTGTTTTGTGGAAATGTGGCTCAAAGTGTGAATGTGGCTTGCACAAGTAAAATTAATGTACCTCTAATAACCTATTTAATCAAAATTTTACTAATTTAGCCATTGATTTTAATAAAATATTCGTTTATTTGGCAATGATCTTTGAGCATTCTACGTTTATGAATCAAAAGACAGTTGCCCGATTAGGATTATGATATTTTAATTTTATGATTTCATCTTAACAAATAATACATAGCATTGCTACATATAATCATAGACTGAAATGTTTTATTAACGGTAAATTACGTTCTAACGTATCAGAAAAACGTCGTTTGGTTGAAATATATTTTCCAGGCTCAAAATGGCAACGGGACTGAAAATAGGAGCGTATTAAAGCTTGTTATGTACGCTTACTTTCTTTGTGATGAAAGTTGTTTTGAAGAGGCCACAGTTTTATAGTTAATTATTGAAGGATACAAAGTTATGTTGAGTCGTACGGGGAGTTACTAACGATAAACTTATGGTAAACGAATGGCAGAAATTTACAAACCAATTTTGGCGTTACGACTTCATTTTTAATCTTATCCCTATCTGATTGAGTGAGAAGTATTTGGTGTCTCTTATTAAAGAACCTATAACAAATACAATCAACCTATGTAAATTTTCAATTTTGCCTTAAATGGAAAACAATGTCTTTTACGATATCATCTTTTGCCACTTGTGTTGATTTTGCGTGATATGTTCAAACTACTGATTCGGTGAGGCAGAGAAAATTTTACTCTTCATAAAAAATGTCATATTCATAATGTTGTAGTATGGACAATTCTTGGCACGAATTCATCTATTGTTTTGGCATGTTGTTCTTGCGTGGCAGCAAAAATACGTATCGTATTCATCGTTCGGCACGAGTTGAATATCAGCAAAACTAATGGCGGAATAAAAGAAAGAAGCAAACAGCCCGCGCCCTTTGACACATTTCCAATCATATGTGGGTAATTCATGTATGTAGTAATTGTTTGAAATAATATTCACCAAAAAAGTTTCAAAATGAAAAAGATTTAAGCAACAGTTTACTCACCAAAATATTTCTGCAAAATTTTCTTGACTTTACTTCGAGCTAAATACCCAAGTAAGTCTTTTTTTGTCAATGATTAATTAGAAAACACGGAAGTCATTGTCGGTGGTGAAGGTCCATGTTTCAGTGAGTATACCTGTAGAAGGGTAATGAGGTGGAGTTGCATGTGTGTGGGGGAGTAAACTTGATGTACAACGTATACATCCATACAGGAATCGAAAAAAAAAACACGACAGCGCAGAAAGGTTTTGAAGACAGCATAAGCATATGTTGGTTTGAGCACCAACAAAGCAAAGCAAGTTCAGGTGGCAACTGTGTCTCATTAAAGACACCTTTTCATTGACAATGTGTAAATGAGCTCAACGTCACGGGAAACGAGAAAAACTTTACAACATCATAATAGCCTTATCAAAAAAGACCATTTCATCGTCACCATAGATATACATAATAAATTAATACAAAGTTTGAGCGCACGGTCTGTTGCGATGAAATGGGGCGAGTTATCGTTTGTTTATACAATTTAGCTGGCTAAGTGATTTATTGGGCCGCCTATGTCGTCACTGGAAGCATTGGTAGCAAGACTGGGGCTTCCTAAAAACACATTTGAAAATAAACTTTTTGTCTATCTATTAAACGCAGCGGCAATAAAACTATGGAAAAACGAGAGAAAAATAGCTATTTACAAAAAAGACCAGTAGTTTAGACTTCAGACATTTACCAAGTTCTTCAACGAGAAATAAGCAAACAAATCATGATTGAGGTAAGAACAAACCCTAAGTGTAGATCTCTTGCAACATTTTACGTAAAAAAAGAAAAAGAAAAACAATTAGCTACTATATATATATATATGAGAAATACGACATGCTAGTAAAAAGAAAATAGAGCAACCGTTTTGGGGGAAGAGTTCTCTCAAAATTCCTGTGATAACATAATTGAAGGAATATATTTCTTGAAAACTTGCATAAAGTTCTAGAAAAACAAATTCTGTGCTCTAGGAAATTTTTAATTTCCCTTTAGATTCTCACTAGTTTACAGTTAATTCATAATCTTAAAGTGGGTTCTGTTTTTGTATTGCAGTGCTTAAATGCTCACATTTGCATTTATATTGTGCATGTTATTATATGTGACACGTGCTTGAGACACGTGTGCTATAGTTTTACGGGAAATTAATCAGTAATGAGCTTATGATTACGTATTCTTATTCATTTACATTCCACCTGTCAAAAAACTGTAAAATTCAATATGAGTCACGCCTTTATTATTAAACAGATGTTGGCTGGCGGAAAGTACATAGTGTAGCGTCTCGATATCGTTTAGAGAAACTTGTTATTTTTTGTTAAAATAAAATATTATATACTGTTATTCGTCGATCGCTTGTTACTGTCATAGGTAAGTTATCATTTGTTCTGTTGTTTTACTACATGTAAAAATCATCGGCGGGTTTTCTAAGGCATGTTAGGCAAATTCAATATCTTTGCATTCATATACATAAACTGAATCTTTACAACACGTACAGAGTGTAATATAATGAAACTTGACCGTGTTTTTGATGAGTTAGAAAAATTGGGAAATCTTAAACTTTAATCGTAAAAATTACTAAAACATTGAAGGCTGACGATGGTTATCTAAAACGTCGAAGTAAGGATGTGTTTGCCTATTCTGGTTATTTACGAAAATTAAAAAAACAAATGTTAATTTTTCAACTTAAAAGAAAACATCGTGTTTTCGAACAGCATAAATAAATCGAAAGTAAGTTTATCATAAATACATAAAATGAGATTCTATAGCCTAGAAAAGATATTTTTGCTTCGATTTCTGTTCTCATCAAGTATTTGTCAAATGTCAATTCAAAGCGTCGCTATTGGAAAGTGAACGTGGTTTTTATCTGTGTCGGGCGGTCCAAATTGGAAGGGGAAAAGAATTAGTTTGACGGAGAAGAATGGGAAATGAGCGGTAGAATAAAATATATATGTAAAGAAAGCCCTAGCCCTAAGGAAGCAAAATTGGTCCAGTTCCGTGGGTTTCTATGCAAACATAATTTTGTTTGCGAAAATCGGACAAATTGTGTAAAGATTCGTTGACATTGTAACATTGTAAAGTGTTCACGACTTGTCATACGCATTGGCCAAAATCCTAACACTATGGCCCATTTCAACTTCATTCGCAATTCGCAAATGGCATGCGACGTGCGTACACATGCGAATTCAAATTTTCCCTTGGCCTTCATAATAGCATTTTCCGTGAAAATATAAGCTTTTAAAATTAAATTAGATGTTAATCATCTCTGATTTGTGCAGCTTTGTACAAGCACAGACTCAATGTCCCTTTCTTGTGAAACATTTTAAATGTAAGTATGAGTTTTCGACAAAAACATTGTTTGTCTGAAATTGACGTCTTACCTAGTGATGGAGACCATGTTTGTCGTGTTTGCCGGAAACAAACTTTACAAGACTTCTATAAGTATAAAAAACATTGTGATCCATCGTATAATTTTACTATTTGCAGACATGGAAAAACTGTTAGACAAATTCTACCTGCAAGCCACTACAAAAGGTATTTGTAATAACTCCTTATTGTGTATGGTAGTAACTGCTATTGGAAAGGATTTAAACTCACATAAAAAGTAGCTCGTAGACATAGAATTAATGTGGTGTAAAACGCCCGCCCGTGCAATGTACATCAATAAAAAAATTCAGCTGATGTGGCGTTCTACAAGCTGGACGATTCGCAAAATAGGATAAATTACTCTAGCGAGACTAACAATGAGCCACAGATGTTGCTTTGAACGAGTTTTATTTTATTTAATGCGAAAACGTTTTGGTCTTAGAATAGTTTTGGAAATTGTATTTTATCAGCATTGCTTGCCGTCTTAGTTGTGAAATTTATATTTTCATAAACAGACTTCTACGATATGCTTGATCAAAACCATAAAGGCAGGGAATATTTGCCAAATGAAAAGGTATTGTTCCACTTTCTCAGTATTAAGTGTCAACTTCTCATTGAGTTAATAGTGAGAACCAGTTTTAAACGCAACTCAAAGAAGGATATCTGGTGATCTAGCAACCCAACGAGAATTGATTATTAAAACAAGGAGCATCATCATAGAAGCATGACCTGTGAATGTATACACAAACTACTTCAGCACATGTGCACATCTAATATCATTTTGCTATCCTATATACATTATGTATTCACTTTTTTTATTTTTCAGATGAATTCCCAGAAACTTTTGAATGATTCGAAACAAGCGTTTAAAAGAGGAAATTTAGATGTTGCGGAAAAGTTTGTTGGAAAAGCAATACAAAGACAAAAGATTGAAGATGCTTCAAGTGAAATAAATCCAGAGTTGTATTATCACTTGGCTGAAGTTCTACAGCAAAAAGCAACTAAAGCTACCTTGGAACAACTTGAAAGACAAAAACTATTGCTCCAGGCCACAGCACTTTACATGTTTGTGAGAAATTGTTTCAACAAAAGCTCTAAGAAAAGTGAGCTTGTTATGAATATTTCAAAATGTTTACCTCAGAAAATCTTGGATGTTCAACATAGCATCATTCAAACTGCATCAGGAAACCCATCTACATGTAAATTCAATAGTGAAAGTAAGCAAAAAGCTTTGAAAGAACTACGAGAAGAGGCCAAGGCTAGTTTGGAAGAAATAAACGATAAATACGATGCTGAAACAGGAAGTGATGAAGACCTTCGAGAAATGTTTATTAAACAAACTCCTGACGTAAAGATTCTGTTCAAAAGAATTGCCACCAGGGTAAAACAGCTTTTCGTTGAAATTATTGAAGAATGTTTTGATGTGCTGGGAAAGCCACCATGTGACTACGAAGTCATGCTTCTAGGTTCATTAGCTAGAGAAGAGATGACACCATATTCCGATATAGAGTGGGCAATACTAACTAACTCTGAAGAAGAAAAATGTAAAACATTCTTTCGTACTTTTACAAATCTTGTTAACTTACAGGTAAGTAAATGTTTAAATTCTTCCTTGCAATTCACAAGAAATATTTCTAAAAAGTGCCATATATGTGGCTAGCAAAGAAAATGGACTTAGCCAGTCCTCGAGTTTGTTCGTATATAACACAGAACAGCTAGGGGAAAAAAAGTTGCTCTACTTTGCTATAAAACTTGTACCTGCATATTTACTGAGTTAGTGATTTAACAAAAGAGTTCGGTTTTATATGTTTCCTATACTGTGATCTTTCTAAAGAAATATTTTGGTTTTTACTTAATGCGAAAACAATACAATGCTGAAGATGTACTTACTTCCAATTATTTGCTGTAATGCATTCGCACTCCTAGCATGTTTGAGCTATTTAAATGTAATTGGACTAATTCTCCGTCTGCATTTAGCACTTCTTCCAGGAAGCGGAGGGCGCTCAGGGGGCACTTGTTCCCCAATAAAGTTTTTGAATAAAAAAGTGCCCATTTTGTGCTAGTTATTTACATAATTTATAATTAGATGTTTGGTATTGTCTTTTGTTTTTACTTGGTACAATTGGAGCTCGTTTCATAATTATTAAACTTAAACTACCGACGATTATTTAATCTTTGATGTTATGTCTTACTGTTATAGTGAGAGTGTTTACAGTATCCTTTCTTAACAATACATTTGTATTGTTAAAAGGCGAGATTTTTTTGAAAGGGTGGGGGGGGACATGTGAATTATATACATTTATAACTCATCCAGATAATACAATTAATTACAATGCTGTCATTGTATCGGAACATTATTCAAATGCTGCAATATGTCAAATATTGAAATAATAAGGATTACAATGAATGCATTATTTGAAAGATCATTTTTTGAACAACCACAGATAAAAACAGGCTTCTCAAAAGAATTTTGAAAAAGATAAAATAATTTCCCGTTGCTTAATTGATCTTCACAAGTAAAGAACAAATGATATTGACATGATCAAACTTGCTGGAGAATTTACTGAGAAAAGGAACAAACAATTTTTGGGAAAATTGCAATTTCTAGATTTTTAGAAAAACTACGCTGCACAAAAATGCAGATAGACAAAATAGTTTCCTGCTAGTTGCAATTATATCATGCTATCAAATTCTTCAGTTGTATATGAATTATGACAACCAATATATTGCGTTGCATGCATAAGCTTACGAGGCGGGGGTGCTCAGGATGCTGTCCAGCATCCCCAATTTTGAGCTGAAAGAGTAACGTTGGGAAAATTCTACTCAAGAGTCGGGAAACATTCAGTCCTTTTGTAGCCAAAACAATACACAAAATAATCACTTGATAATAATAAATTTGGAACGAGCAACAATTGATGAGCTTTATGCTCATTGTTGCGTTAGCAAGATCGTAGGAAAATTGCGTTAGCAAGGGCCTAGGAAAATTGATATTTTGGGGGGCTCATATTCATATATTCATGTCATAATTCTTTGAAAACAATGGATTTCAAAAGAACTTAACTCTGTATATCATGAATATATGAATATGAGCCCCCCTCCAAATTATCGATCTTCCTACGCCCATGGATGTTAGTATGTAAAAATTTAAGCACGAAAGCAATATAAACACAAATTTAAAGTACTTAAATAATTTAGCGTTAAATTTGACCGCGTGAGCCAAATTAGCCTTAGACAAATATGGTGTAATTAGAAATAACGAATTTCATGTAGGGAAATTTTCGTTTTCGTCGGGCAGGAAAGTGTCCGCACCCACAAATTTTTTGGTCCCGTACGCCCATGGTTAAATGTAATTGCTTCTGTGAGTATACTTAATGTTTCAATTCTAATTTAACTTGTGTTGGGTAAAATTTCATTTTTTATAAGAATCACATCTGACTGGCATATCAAAGCAGATAACTTCGTGTATGAATTGTAGAATTCTAAATTTTTAAAGAGCATATAAACTACAGGTGGAATATCTTTGCAGCTTTATGAATCAAACCGTCTCTTCAAGTATTTTAGCTGCCCTTTTCTCAACCAAAACTGCCCCCTTCTCCCACCACGAAGTGTAAGATTGTTCCTACTCTATTGACTTCTAACATAGACACTTAATGTACAGTTATATGATACAATATATTCACTACAATTTTTTAAGTGTATATTAAAATGTTTTCTTTAAAAAACAAAACGGCCAATGTTTTTTTAGTATTGTTAAATATATTTAAATATTATCTTAAAATAGCATAAAAAACTTCTCTTCTAACATCATTGTTTGCAGATAATCATGATTGGTGAGACTATTTTGCCTTGTATGGACATTAAGGTGTTAAGAGGAGATTGGTTTTATGATGACGTAACACCACGTGGACTCTCCTTTGATGCTTTCCTACCTCAAGCATGCAAGACACCATTGGGAAATGCAGTGGATTTTGAGCTCATTCATACTCCAAAGATAATGGCAATTTTTCAAAGTAACTACTGGCATAAGAACAACCCACACTTAGGTAAACTTTTTGGTATAGTGCCTCAAAAAATGGTATAAAACATAATCAAACTCTATCAGAATAGAAAAAAAAAGTGATTACAAGGTTTTATATGTAATATAAACGTGTACATTCAGGGTAAATTATTTTCTTCCGACATTGCATCGTTTTTATAGTCAATTTATACTGGCAAGAAAACCATAAATACTATTTCCTTCATTATGATATTTTGTTAACAATTAGATTACGCGAGCTTAAGATTTCTATGAGGTCTGATAGGTCTGATCTTAAAAATAATTTTAAATTGATTTTTTTTATTTAGGAGATATTTTGTTGACTGTTGCCCCACTCCAAAACGACAAACAAACGTTATTGAATGAATACAAAAAGATTGTTGAGAAGATTTTGCGTGAACCTTGTGACTTAGAGAATTGTACTCATAGTAACACTGTACCGACCAAGGGATCTTGCAGAGGACACAGCATCCTATTAAAGGATGTTACACAATACGGACAAACGATGTTGGAAATTGATCAAGCTAAAGACGGTAAATTGTATGATGTAAAGAAAGAAATCTATCGATTGACAGACCGCGTTATCGCAGGACTTTCAAAAGTTTTTCGTATCGCCACGAATGGCTCTTTTAAAGTTCTCGGTGATTTGTATGAAAGAAACGTGATTTGCTCTATTGCAAAAGATAACCTTTCAAGTGCTGTAGCAATTGCATTAAAATTTAGACTTAGTACCTATCTTTTAGCTGAAAAACAGGCTGAGAGTATGGACACAAGTTCAAATAATTGCAGTGATGAAACTGTAATAGAAAACAACGGATTACCAACTTACGATATTACTAGAAAGAATGAATTATTTCATTTTTTCTTTGTATCAAATCCACTCTATGAGTTGTTGCGGGAGTTTAGTGCCGGCAACAGAATGAGATCAGAAGATTTGGTGCATAATTCATTCTTTGATTGCTGTGATATAAATAAAGGGCATATGCATTGTCGGTTGTTAAACTACGTTGATGCTTTAGAATATTACAAGCGTGGGCTCAAAGTTGACCCTGAAAACATTGACTTGAAGATTCGACGTTTGAGAATTGAATATCATTTGAGCAAGAGCTCCAATATCGTTCTTTCGAGTAAAGAAGAATTGAATGCTTTACGTCAAGAGATTAGCGAAAGACTGCAATTCAACTCAGATGACTTTGTCAGACCAAAAAGCAACAAAGCTACGGAGGCCACAACCAAAAAGGGTAAAAAAAAGTTATTGAGCCAGTTGGTTGATGTGCATATTTTTCATGTGTCATGTTGCATGGTTGAAGGGGAAGGGGAAATGGCAAGAGCAAGTCTCGAACAATGCAAGAGTTTTGAATCTGAAATGAATGATCTTCAAAAGTTATCTATAAGGTTAACTCTTTTATATATATCTGAAACACAAGTCACGGAGAAAGAATTTGATGAGATCATGTCCTTATTTACCGTGTTGATAAAAAAATTTGGTAGCAGCATCACTGGACTTACGTGGTTGAACGAATTGGGAAAATCTCTATTATATCAAGAGAGATTTGTCAAAGCTCGCCAGTGCTTGCAACGAGCAATGTTGATGGGGCGTATTTTGTTCGGTTATACCATCAACTTTCAAGTTTTGAAGACTTTGTCCATGCTTGCAAATGTTTGCTTTCGCTTAAAGATGTACGAGGAGGCTAAGCTGTACTCACAGCTAATTCTCAATTCGTTACATTTGTCAAAAGTGCACGTAAGTGTCTCATTGAAAAGAGAAGTGTTCCACCGACTAGCAATGATCAACAATTTCACAGGCAACTTCGAGGATGCAATCCTTTATTTCAAGAAAGCTTTAAATTCGAACTCCAGAGGAAAATGCACAGACTTTATGGAGGAATGCTTGATACATTGTGGTTTGTCAACTACTTACTTCAAAGTAGATAAAATGGCAGAAGCACTACGATCAGCGTTTGACGCTAAAGGTTGTCTTGTAAATATTCCTAACAAACAATATAATGTATTAAGTGTGTGTTTGGTCTCGAAAACCTTTATGGAAATAAGCAAAAATAACGAAGCAATGCAGTTGCTGAAGCAGGACTTGCCAAGGAACATGATGCTGTTTTCAAAGAGAAATATTTAAATTCTCTTGCACAATTATGTTCTCATATAGGTCTTACAGAAGATGCCGAGACATATTACAAAACATCTTTAAAAATACTGAGATCTAAGAATGAAAATATTCCAGAAATCGTGCAAAGACTTCTAGATATCACAGAGATTTTAATAAAAACCAATAAATCTTCCGAAGCATTTACCTTTCTTTCTAATACATCAAATTATGTATTAAAATTGGTTGATAACAACCACAAATGCTCGTGCTTACGAAAGATGGCCAATTGCTGGGAAGAGATCAAGGAGCTTTACAAAGCCCGAAAGTGCTTGGAGCAAGCAGTCATTGTTTGTGACTTATCACCAAAAGATTTAAAGGTGCCATCAATCGTTGAATATGATGTTCATGTTAAGTTGAGTGTTCTGGTGAAGAAAACTATCACAAGTACATCATCAAATGATGAAAGTAGCATTAAGACACAAATCAAAGAGACAGAGAAGCTGCACTATGACAGAGCTTGCGCTGCCTTAGAACAACATTTAGCGACAGGTCAATGTAACTCACAAACTATATTATTTCTTCAGCAACTTGCCTCGAACTATCGTTCGATTGATTTTATGGAAGAAGCAGAGAAACTTTATCTTAAAGCTCTGGAAATGAGCGAAGTGATATATGGCCCTGAGAACAAAAATGAGCTAGTTGCTTCCATACTTTATGATCTAGCTTGCATTTATTCATCGAAAAAGGAATTTGAAAGTGCAGTAAAGTTCAGCCAGCGTTCTCTACAAATGCAAATGGTGATACATAGTTTAGATCCTTACCATATTGATATCAACCATGAAATTTTACTCCTAACAGGACTTTTTCTTGAGTATCCACAAAGAAAACATTTCACAACAACGATACAGCAAGTTCTTATTTTTTGAAAAAACACATGAAAGAAGAAGCGTTTATGAACAGTGTGGAAAAAGCAAACTGCTTAACAGACATGGCACTTTTGTGTTGTTTTTTTGGTGACTTCAAAAAAGCAGAGTCGCTTAGCAAAACAGCTCAAGATATTTTTACAACAATTAAACAGAATGGTTGTCCCCATAAGATTATTCCCAAAACAAAAAGCTGTGGTCTCATTGATTTCTTGATCAAAAACGTAACAACTGCGTCCAAAAAGGTCCTCATTAATCTCTTTAAATCGTTGTATTTGCTCAGGAAAAAGCCCATATTCGAAACACCCAACCACTTTTCATCGATTTACAACGAACTCGTATTCATTGGTGACGTTTATGACAAACTTTATGCAGCTGATCCTTTAAATGAAATGTCTTTGCCTTTCAAAATGGTCGAAATAATTTCTAATTTAAAGAATGTTTCTTTGAACACCAAATAAACAAGTAAAAACAATTACAAACAATGCAAATAGTAATAAACGAAAAATTTAAAGAAAACCATTTTCCGATTGATTTATTAAAATTGCAAAACAAAGACAACTGGACCTGTGTTAGTTTCAATGAAATTGTGCATCAAAATCGATCCAAAGTTAAAGATACACACGACAAAGTATACACTATATAAAAAAAAAGTGGACAACCATCAATGCAAAACAATCTGAAGTACACGAGAGAGATATATCAGAGCTTTTAATGCAAAATCAAAGCAATTAAAACTATAAATACGCCAAATATTTTCTCATGGAAAGATTCTGTTGCTGATAGCTAATTGGATGAAAAAGGCGAATTTGAACATGATTAAAAACCAAAATCGCCTCTTTTTATGGATAGCTTTTCCAAGATGTTGTATACAGCTGCTGAGTCGGGCGGAAAGCGCAAAAATAAAGATAAAGATATTTCTACTACGCAGACATTAAATTCTCACGTTCGTCGAGTAATGTTGATAAGTGATCGCCAAAGATTGATTTGCTCAATAGACGGCAAACCTAACCATGCAAAGATGTAACACGAGGAGTTTCCACTGCAGTAATTAAATATACTATTTTTTTGTGTGTAACTTATATCTATAATCTTTTGGTACTTTGTACTGCGTTATACCTTTTTAAACTATATTTTTCTATAGCAAGCATTTCTTTTTAGCAGGTTATTCTGCAGAAATTGCTTCAAATTCCGATTACATTCCGAGCAAAAGGCAAATATCTTCTATTCAATCTCAATCGATGACATCTAGATTGCTTGTACAGTTATTTTATATGGCTGAAAATTTCAATTTAAACTTATTACACATTTGAATCATAAAGACGATCTCGAACAAGGCGTATATTTTCACTCGGATTTTTCATTTCTAACTTTTTCATTCATGATTTAAATCTAAATGTTATTTCTTAAATCGGAATGTAAGGCTAAAATTTCGAAAAGTTTATTGTGACAAACCCATTACAAAAAATAACTGAGCTCAAGACCTTTGCTTTAAGAACTTACTCCTGCCTTATTGACTTCCGATGAAGCTATTTAGGTGCCTTTCATGGGGCATGATTAACGTAATACTGCATTAAATTGGTACAGTGAAACTCTATTAAAAACAACTATACATAAAATGCGTGGTGAATTTTGTCAAACGTTCAACAACATGGAGCAAACTAGCTAATTTGCTAAATAAGTTAACTGAAATCGCCATTTTGACAGCGACTGCTTAATGACAATGTGATTCTCCTCAAAGCTGGTTGAGCATATGGAAACTCTTGATTGAGACGATCGACAATGCTCATCAAGGATTGTAAACGATCTTTTTGCTTTTGTAACTCAGTGTCCAGTGTTTCAGAAGTTTTACAAAGAGTAGTATATCTTCCTTCTTTGACTGCTGTTAAATGCTTGACTTTTTTTTGAGATGATAAAATATCAGCTAAATTCTAGAAAAAGAATACGAAGTATATTCAAATAATATTCAAACACATGATAAGAAGTTAGGAAACGTGGGAAACACATGGTAAGAAGGTAGGAAACGTAGGAAACACATGGTAAGAGGAAACGTGGAAACATGGTAAGAAGGAAATGGAAAAAGGGAATGGAAGGAATGGAAACGTAGAAATGGAATGGAAGGAATGGAAACAAGAGGAAGGAAAGAAATGGAAGAAAGGAGGGTGGTGGAATGGAAATGGAATGGTGGAATGGAATGGGAAACATGGTAGAAGGAAACAAACACACACAAGGGAAGGGGAAACAATGGTGAAGGTGGAAATGGGAAGGAATGGAAGAAGGAATGGAATGGAATGGAAGGTGGAAACTGGAATGGAAAAGGGAAACTGGAAACATGAAAATAGGAAACTGGAAAAATGGATAATATAATATTTTCGTCCGCGGTAAATTAAGCTAACATTAAGAAGCGATAAATATATTCGGTAAAAATTAAATTAATTATCCCAATTATTTTAATTGAAATAATTACATAATGATAAACTCACTCTTTGTCGTTGATCACTTAACAGATCAATCTTCGAGTCAACTTCATCAACAGCACCTTGCAACTCGTACACCTTTGTCTGTTTATTTTCTAACTGTGAACTGAGATCTTTTTTATTTTCTTGTAATACACGAATGTCGTTATCGAGATGGGTCGCACTGTCATTCGTCTTCTTTATTTTGCTCTTCAGTTCAGCGATCTTTCTATCGTAAGCTCCCTTCGTGTTCACATTCTTCCCTGTTTTTAATTGAGCATCACCTCTGATAGAGAGCAATTGAAAACAGTTATTGGTGGATTTGCTAAAGTCAAGAGTGCACAGTGTAAGTAAGAGATATGTAAAAGGATCAATTTCTAAAGATCGTCTTGTATGTATCTCTCTATTGTAAGTTGTAATAGATAACTAAAGCTAAGAATAAGAGATGTAAGTACGATGTCAATTTATATAGATTCTCAGTTTACCTGGTTATGATAAACTCCCGACGCGTGATTGACTTTTCCATATCTTGAATCATTTTTTCTTGTTGTTTCATGAGCTGTGAGTAGCGAACCTGAAAATAAAATTTATTGAATGATGCTCTATAGTCAAGGAGCTTGGGTACCCCTTATTCATTAATTGTGCAAAAGAAAGCAGTAACAGTGCCACATTTACAGGTGGGGTCAATTATATGAAATTTTCCCAAATAGGTCTATGCTATCTTAGCAAAGTTTATTAATTAGTTAGGAAGTTGAAGAAAAAAACGACAAAATTTCTTAACATAAACATGGTTCGACTAACGTAACATTAAATCATCTTTAGTATGCTTTTCATAAATAGTAGGATATATGATAAATAAGAATTAATAATTAGTAAAAGGATAAAGTATTGCAATTGTGTTAAGCTAAGAGATTTCGCTGTGTGTGAAGGTTTTACTCTTGGTAAGCTTTTTGAGATTCTTGAGGTGTGTTGTTAATAGCTTATTTATCTGTTCACGAACATTCTTGTTTAACGCTTTGTGAAGAATAATTTGAGAGATCAGTCACATCACCGTTCAGTTTTGTTGTTTTTTCGTGTTTTGACTCATTAATCATGGGATATAATTGCAATGATCATTCATAATTAAAATCTTTAAGCTTTTAATGTAATCCCCCAAAAATTCAACAATTTTTAACCTGCATGCGATGTATTTCAGCTTTCATGGTTTTAATTTCACCATGTCCGTAATCTTCATTAACCGTCGCTCTAGCTTCACGTGCCAATTGTGTCTTCTTCTCCCACAACATGATCTGTCTCCTGGTAAAAACACAGTATGCATTATTATTTTAGATAAACAAGTTGAGTGATGAAAAAAAGGAAAAAGATACTCAAATCAAATGTTTACTCATATCAAATGTTTCAAATTTATTTCAAACTTTTTTTCACATTTCATCTCCCCCTACCAAAACCCCTTCATAAAAACAGAGATAGATTCAGCATGATTTTAAATGGAAGTGGAAGGGATGCAGTTTGAATAAGATTTTGGTGGCTTCTTTGAGGGTATCGCCAGATCACGATAGAATTTTTTGTTAGATTCGCTTCCAAAACTCTTGAACCATGATTGGGACACATTTTTTAAAGCGTACTACACGCAGTAACATTTCAATTATACTGTCGAACATACTCTGCCTCGACAAGGCTGTTTAATAAACGTTCCTTCTCTTCTTTCATGCCGTCAATTTTGCTCTGCATCTCTATTGATTCGAGTTCAGCTTCCTGTAAGGAAGGAAAAGTAAGGACTCGTGTTACATCGTCAATAAGATCCTGATAAAGACATTACACTGCCGTTTTGAAGGACTCAGGTTTCAATATCAAATCACTCGAACTAAACACACTAGACTAAAGTATATAAGAGCTCAAGTCTTACAATTAGCCTGATGAATACACAAGATAGGAGTACACAAGGACCAAAGTTTTAAAATAAGATAACTTATGACGAAGACGCTAAACTGGAGTATATAAATAGTAAAGTTTCAACGTCAGATCACTCCTGATGAAAATACTTTAGTGGAGTATATAAGAAATCAAGTTTCAACATCAGATCACTCCTGATGAAGACATTATACTGGAGTATATAAGTAGTAAAGTTTCAACATCAGATCACTCCTGATGAAGACACTATACTGGAGTATATAAGTAGTAAAGTTTCAACATCAGATCACTCCTGATGACGACACTATACTGGAGTATATAAGTACTAAATTTTCAACATCAGATCACTCCTGATGACGACACTATACTGGAGTATATAAGGACTCAAGTTTCAACATCAGATCACTCATGATGAAGACACTATACTGGAGTATGTATATATAGAAGGACTCAAATTTTAGTTTTAGATCACTCCTAAAAAGACATTATACCAAAATTTTTAAGGACTCAAGCATGAACATCAGATCAATACTGATTAACATCACTCCACAATACGACAAAACACAAACCCCAACTATAACAGCTCATTCAACAGATAACTGAACACATCATTGTTAACTTACCTTCAAAGTTCGAATAAACTCATCCTCCGTAAGAATATTACTTTGTTCCAAACTATTTTTCATTCCTCTTTCTTTGGTTATGAGGGTGTTGAGTTTTGTCATTTCATTTTGCATGTTACGAATGCTGCGTTCAATATCCTTCATTTCTCCCATATGATGCTCAATATCTCCTGAAAACAAGTTTAGTGATAGAGATTGTTATTTGGAATGATTAGCCTACTGATTTGACCTTTAAAAAATTATTTTGGTCAACTGTAATCGGTTTACTTTAAGAATTCATTAAGGAATATCTGAATCTTTTATTGACGCAGGTCCGAAAATAATCACGTAAAAATTCGCGTAAAAGATCACGTAAAAGATCACGTAAAAGTTCACGTAAAACATCACGTAAAACATCAGGTAAAAGATCACGTAAAAGTTCTCGTAAAACATCACGTAAAACATCAGGTAAAAGATCACGTAAAAAGCGTAAAAGTTCACGCAAAACATCACGTAAAACATCAGGTAAAAGATCACGTAAAAAAGCGCGTAAAAGATCACGTAAAACATCACGTAAAACATCAAGTAAAAGATCACGTAAAAAATCGCGTAAAAGATCACATAAAACATCAGGTAAAAGATCACGCGTAAAAGATCACGTAAAACATCACGTAAAACATCAAGTGAAAGATCACGTAAAAAATCGCGTAAAAGATCACGTAAAACATCAGGTAAAAGATCACGTAAAAGTTCACGTATAACATCATGTAAAACATCAGGTAAAAGATCACGTAAAACATCACGTAAAAGATCACGTAAAGATCACATAAAAGATGACGTAAAAATCACATTTTATCCTTTTTTGGCATGTTTTGCTCAAATTCACAGGATAGCGCTATGTTTCGTACAAACATTCCTAGGATCACACTATTCCCTTAATGTCCCTTTGACATCCGTTGTTGGCTTTGTCGTCAGCTAATTTAAATAAAGTTTTCAGAGTCAAGATTTTCACAAGATAAAGACACTGACCTTCAGTTCGTTGTTTTTTATGAAGCAATATAGAATGTCGTTTCTTAAGATTCTTGATCTCTTCTGACTGCTGTCCGACCTTCTCAACTGTCTTAACCAGTTCATTCTGATTTCTCAACCAAAACTGTTGAAGTTCATTAATTTTATTGTTGGAAGACTCCACTTGTTTCTGCAAGGTGCTGATCTGCAGTTCAAGTGGACCTAACTGTTGACCCTAGCAAAACAACGTTTCAAAACTTAACAAATAATGAGTACAATTTCAACTATTTAAGCATATGTATGCTGTACCACCCCTTCCCATCCCATCCCGTCCCGTTTGCTATATTATTTATTTTATCACATGTTATTTTATCCTATCCAGTCGTATCCAATCTTATCCTATTTTATCCTGTTCTATTTATTTTAAATTTAATCGACTTTTATGGTGTATAACTAACCCCGTCTTTATTTTTCAGGGATTCGATACGTTTGTTGTATTGATCCACCAAACTTTGTTTTCTTTCAATCACGGCATTTTTCTTTAAGATGTCATTCTCAATCGTCGTCGCCGTCTCGTTCTTTTTTCGTATTTCTTCGTTCAGCTGCTTAAGGATCTCCTCCAGGTTGCGAACACGTGTGCGTACATTACTAATCGCCATCAGATCACGTGATATATCGTTCTCGACTGATGCCAATTGGTTGTCCTGTTAAAGTATGAAACGGAAATAACCAAGAATAAAAGTCTCTGCTACGGAGAGTATAATTTTGTACTGTGAAGTGCTAATTATACTCGTTACATACTGTTAATACCAGTATATCTACTTAAGGAGATATTGTGTCATATTGCGGTAATAGATACTTTAAATGCATGATACATGGAATGACGTAAGTATAATATATCTTTAGGCTTATAGCCATCTCTATAATCTTGTCTTATAGAATAGGTAAATATCTATATCAACAGGTTTGTCATTGATTTGAAGTATAACGAAATAAAATGCGCTAAAGAAATGATTATTCTGAACAAAGAATGATTATTCTAAATAAAATTATTGTCTTATTAATCAAATTAGAAAACCCTTTCATATTTTATAGTTCCTTCCTGGTCCTATCTGTATATTTTATTATTTGATATATTAGCTATATTAATTCATGTAAGAATAATAAAAATGTGAAAAGCATAATGTTACGTATATATAGATACTTTTTTGCCCTAAATGATCTATTCTATCTAGACCTATACAGATATACATATGTATTCTTCAAATACTATATTACATCATGTCAGAATAATAATGTTGGTATTTACTCCAGAATATCAATTCATATATTTACATATTTTAACATATTTCTACATCCCTATGAGATCCTCACCAATTCAGTTCCACGTTTCTTTATTTTATCAGTGACTTTCTTACTGTATTGTGCAGCTTTATCAAATGTCATCTGCTCACGAAGTTTCTCCATGATATTTTCCTCTACTCGTCCTTTCTCTTCGTATTCACGTTCAATCTGCTTTCTTAAAGCTGTAAGCTCGTTTTCTCGTAGAGTTATGTCCTGAAAAAACAAAATACATAAATACTTCAAAATATGTTAAGTGTTTAAGAACAGCAAGCCTATTTCTTCCAATTAATCACCTCCTATTATGTATAATGTTCTACTTCATCATATTTTATCCTATTTTATTATTATACATATTTATCCCATATCCTATTATTCCTATATCAATATCAATCTATAATCAATTCTATATCCACCAATATCCATCTACATCTAATCCACAATCATTAATATTCAATGATATCAATTCTATATTCATGATTTCCACATTAAGAACATTTTAAAAATATTCATTCCAAGTTCATCCCGACAGTTCCTGAATTCATTAATCCTAAGTCAAAGGTCCCTTCATATAACCTAAGCACAAAGGTGAAGCTCTTCATTAACAACAAACCAGAGTTTCTTAATCCCTTATAATAAACATGAGCACTTGCCAAAAAAAACACTACATAGGTGGATGTATCATCTCCATAGTAACTGTTCGTCACTCAGTGTGTAACCATAGGTACTAAATTCATTGTGACTGTTTTTCTAAGTACTTACGGTATTGGTTTTATTTAAAGCCAGCTCAGTTTCATGAAGTGTCCGACTGTATTTACTATATTCCATTTTCAATATTTCTTGTTTGTTCAAGCTTACACCAATCATCTTCTTTACCATTGCTATGTCAGCTTCAACTCTGTGTTGCATCAAAGTCAACTGTTCATTGGTCGTTTGAGCCTTGGAGATGGAGTTGCGGAAGCCATCAAGTTCTGTTTCAATCGTCCTGATATGTTCTTTTTGAAGACTAAAGGAAAGAGAGCATTTGAATCTTCTTGTTATATGTTATGTATTATGTATTATAGTATTTTGAGTAAATGTAAATGATATTACATTTGAAACAGTGTACGGCTGAAATAAGAAATCAAGTTCTCACAAATAGGTCAATCTTTTAGAGAAAAAAGAAAAACATTTCCATACTATTCATGACATACTTTACAACATGCCCAGGGTACTCATATAGCACTATACATGAGATCGTTTTACAACACAATACATAAGAGGCCTTTATAACGCAATATATGAAAGACCTTTGTATAACAAACATTACATAATCATCAATATATCAATACATAAAAAATAATAATAGCGCATACACGAAAGACGTTTACAAAACAATACATGCTGTACTCTTATTTTTACTATACATAGGTTCCCTTATAATCTCATTAAAAAGCCTTTCCAAACCATTGCAGCATTGTACAACATACCTTATGGCTTGCTGCATGGCCGCATATGCTTCATCACGACGACTTATGCCGATCAAACTATTCTGCCATTGCTGATATAACTGCTTCTTCTCCAGTTCTATCGCCTGCAAGATACATGTATGTTTACAAACAACTTACTTTCGTAACTTTTCTCTATTTCTTCATTAAAGCGTCGTACTATCCACGTGACATCAGAACAGGCATGAAGCTCTGCTCCAACAAGTCAAAAGGTACATTTCGACTTCTCGAGTTTTAAAAACAGCCGAAAACAAATTTTAGATGTGCATGTAACAAACAAAAAGCAATTCTGAAATTTTCATTTTCAGGTTACATTTTCATGCATAACAGATTTGAAGTTGCGAAATAAAAACAATAATAACCTAGTTTATCATCACCAAGAAGTAAAACCTAAGCTAAATATTATTCTTGTTTAATATGTACAGTGGCCAAAAGTGGATACAGCGTTGGACACGAAAAATGACGTATATCTGCTAAATTTAAATTCAAATATTTTAATAACATGATTGTAAATTTCAAAATAATATGCCAATGGTTATAAATAATAATGCCAATTGTTCAAAATGTCAAAAAAAATAAAATGAAACCAATCGATTGGCAACGGAAATATATTGTGACTAACTATGTAAACGCTATTGCCTTATCAATATTTGCGTATATTTCATCATCCTTCTTTTCCTCGTTAACTGCTAATCATGGTCGATATGTATATTAGCTCCTAGTCCTCCTCTCATCACAAAACCTTCAGCTCGTCCAAATAAATAAGTCAGTTATAATTTACCTCAATTTCATTAATAGCCTCGGCGAGAGTTTTCTGTGTTGACTTTGTTTCCTCTTCCTGGGCGATCCTTTGAGCGTCAAACATTGCAATATCCTCGTGTAGTCTTTCTACCTTCTGAGTGAGACGATCCACAAGGAAATCCTATAAAAATATAGCAAAAAGATATAAAGGGGACAATTCATGCCAAGTGATGGTGTCCGAATCCATCCGCGTATAGCTCCATTAGTGACAGCATATTGTTACAAGTTTGTAGATGTAAATCTTACAGGTTGATGAACTCCAGAGGAAAACTGCTGGTGTAGGTGTTCGACAACCTCAACCATGATAAACTTAATATTCAACAGGAATGCACAAATCTATTTACATCTACAAACAACTAAGATACATTGTTGATTGAAAGAAAAGGAAAGTTCCAATACTTGAATTTAAAGGCTTACATACTTGTTTCTTCTTTAATTGTTCAGCTTCTGAGACCTCACCATGAGCTTTTTCTGCTGCACGTTTCATAACTGCAATGTCAGACCGCACTTGCTCCTTTGCCTCTTGCATGTATAGAACACGTGACGCAAGATTCTCTACTTCAATTCGAAGTTCTTCCGCTGTAAATTATGAATTAACGCACATACAAAAAGGCTGCAAATAATTTCTCTCGGGGGGAGGGGGGGAATTTTATATGAGTCAAAAGAGCCAGGATTCATAGAGTTGTTTCAAAAAATGAACGTAATATCATTTCACCAAGTTCAGATAGATAGACTTTTGCAAATAACTGACTCTCAATGGTATAGCAAACTTGATAGTTGGTGGAGAAGGATATTCATTTATACATGTTAGACCGTACTAAATTTCTTTAAAATCGAATGTTTTCCACGGATTATAACATTCACATAAGAATATTGACCCCCTCCTGATCGAGAGTAGCTATGTCACTGATGACTCTCCTCGAGTGTTTTCTGCTCAATTAGAAGACCTGAATGGTTTAAACGCGTAAAATTCCGTTACATGTTTGTAGATGTTGATCATCAAAATTAATGCAATCCTGAGAAAGAATGTTGGTGCAAGACTTTTACTGAATGTTGAAAGAATGTTCAAAGAATGAAAGAATGTTGGTGCAAGTCTTTTAACTCTGAAGATGACTACCCCTAAGCAGGATGACATACAAAAAATTTACACAAACAACAAACTCTAACATAATACCTTTCTTTCTCTGCTCAGAAAGTGATTTTGTATTACTTCGATGTATTTCTCTGACCTCGCTCATCTTCTCCTCGGCCTTCATTCGTAACCTGTGGTTCTCGTTGTAAACATCATGTTGTTTTTCTAACAACATTTGCAGTCGAGCGAGCTCTTGTTGAGAATTGTACAGATTGACACCAATCTCCTCTCTATCTTTATGGCGTTTGTTTAATTCCTCGCGCTAACAAGCCAAAAGACAAATTAGCCAATAGTATTACTCAAGTGGTTTGGCCATACATTTTAGCATAATCGGGTGGTTGGGGGTGAGAAAAGGATAAAATAAGAAAGCACCAGTTTTTACAGGCAAAAATGTCACTCGTTTCGATAGATTTCATAAAATTTCAAAATCCCGTTCTATGAATATGTATGATCTTATATGAAAGCTTTTCTGATCACAATGCGCTCGCGTGATTAAAGGTGAACGCCACGTGAAATGCTTTCCAGTGAAAACGTATAGAAGTTGTTACTAAGTTGACAAAAGAGTGGACAAAGACTAAAATGTCACCTCAAACAGAGCAGAACTGTGCAAAGCGAACATTTCAGCGGAAATAGGTCCTTTGGCATCCATGTTTTTGACAACCTCGTCCCAGTCCACTTAGCCCCACCAGTTATTATAGAACTCAATGGATTGGACCATTGAATTATAAATATACTGGAATGATAACTCCATGTTTGTAAATGTAGATCGTCCAGGTTGGTATAGTCCTGAGAAGGACTGTTTTTGTTGTTGTTGACTGACATTTCGACAACCTTAACGGTAGTCATCTTCAGAGTCAAATGAGGAGTAAACGTCAGGTTAGCAGTATTTGTTATCTGGTTCTTACGTTATCTGGTTGACGAAACGTCAGTCAACAACAACAAAAACAGTCCTTCTCAAGACTATACCAACCTGGATGATCTACATTTACAAACATGTAACGATACTCCTGGGTTCAAACCATTTACTTTAATGATAACTCCATTAAGAATGCCCTCTGATTGGATGAAGCCAACATACGTCTAAAATTTGTCTACTCCCCTGAAATAGTGCATATTTTCTTGGCAATCGATGTTTTTTTATTTTTGGCAACGGGAATTCCGTCAAAACATTTTATTTCTTGCCGTTTTTTTGACAATTTCTCTGCATTGTACCATGCTAAGCGTATACCTAGCGATATATGTACGTGGAAAAACGTAATGGACAAGAATCGAGGTTGATCCGATAACATCATTGCAAAATAAAATGTTAAAGTACGACAATCTAAGGTGACTAACCAGTTCTCTTTCTTCGAGCTCTAACTTTTCTTTCTGCTTCAGAAGATGATTTTTGTAGGCATTTTGAAACCGCAACATCAAGGGCTACAACAAAAACAAACGTTTATTTTGTGCAATATGTGTATTTTTGTATGCTAAATGATCTTTGACAGGTGCTTACATGTTCTGGATCCAAGACCACCAAATCATTTTCACCATCCGAATCGTCTCCTTCATCAATAAAATCTCTAGTATTGACAACATCGATGTTTTCATCAAACTCCACTTGATTTCTATCAATAGTTTCCACATCTGGACGATTTTCGCCGTCTTCATCTTGAAGCAAAGTTTGCTGTTCGTTTGCTTCATCTAAACCTCTGTCGAATGAATGAAAACTTTCGACATTAAGCTCTCCCGAAATATTGTGAAGGACTTCGTCATCAAGTCGAAACTCCCGCAACGCTTTCGCTGTCAACTGGCTGACTGTTGCTGTTACAGACTTTTTAGAGCCAATGGAGTTTCCTGAATTTTCTGAAATTGCTCGGTTGATCTCGTCTTGCAAAGAAGTGTCCTCTATATCTGGAGTTGATCGCTTTTCTTCATTTTGATCAGCCATTTTTTTGTAAAAAGTCAAAACAAAAACACCAAGTGGCGTTGTTGCTATAGTAACATGTAATTGGCGGAGGTTTTCGACAAGTTACGAACGTATCCCGAAGATATTCAAAATGGCAAACTATGAGGTAAAGGGAAGAAAACGCAAGTTTAGCGGGTTTTCTTTTTAATTTCTTATAATATTAGTGCCAAAACATGCAAGTTTTAAATCAGCAACATTTATTTGTCATATATCTTTAATATAGGCGGAAAACCTTGCAGAACGCATGAGACTTCATACCACAATTTTTGGACAAGCTTTCTCACCATGTGGTCACTACTTAGCTGCATGCGATAACTTTGGTCGCATATGCGTATTCAGGTATAAAGGAAGGCAAAGCAAGTCTTTCGATACCGTTTTTATTTGCATTCAATTAACGATGCTATTCACCTTTAATTCTGTAGCCTTGTCGGTGTTTTAAAACCTGAAAACAATACGTTGGGTTCGTACAAGCCTTTCGTATCTTTCCAAGGTAGAGTTGCAAAAAATGAAACTGTGCATTCTCATTCACAAGAAAATAAAAATTATTTTGAGCGTTTTCACCATGATGATCCCTGGAAATGAGTGAAAGCAATCAATATAATATAATGCCTGCTATAAACCTCCCTTCCAATATTTTCCTTCTTATGTTACAAAGATAAATGTGGGGGAGGGAAACTCTTGGATCCATTCTGTTCTTCAAAAGTAAAATGCTATGCGGTCCTTGGTATATATATACCTAGGAAATTACATTTCATTGTGTTTTAAATAGATGCATATTTAAAATTTTAAAAATATGTATGTTTAGCTCATCATGGACCAATTTACTCCCTCATAACAGCTGGACATTACTTGATCAGGTATATATGCAACAAAGTTCATGCTAGTACCAGAAACTCCATAGAAAGAATGTATCATGTATATGCAATAATGACTTTAATTATGCAGTTATACAATATATAATTAATATCAAAAATTAAATATAATATCAAAGTGCCATTTTGCATTTTTTCTTAATATATAATTAAACCCATTTATGCACCTTGTTCCAAACATTTGTAGCACAAGTTAAACCCTTTCTGACACTTGCAACATATTTGCAAGAGAAGCATAGCTTTTAAATTGTGTTACTGAAGTATGGTTGGAAAATAGAGACATTAGAAGAACAAGTAAAGTTAGGGGAAAGGGTGCATTGTTGAAAACTAGGTTTACAGATTATGGATTATTGTGCTTGCTGTAAATGGTGTTTTATGTACTATATGCATTGGATAATGTTTATTCATTTTCATGTATGTAGAAATTAACTTATGCATCATCTTCATTCTGTTGTGTATAGTGGTGGTGCAACTGATATTTGTGGTTGGAAATGGAGTGACCTGCTGTTAAAGGTTGAATTTTTCATGTTAGAGCCTACTAGACGTGTTTATCTTACCAAACCCAGCTTCGTTTTTCTATTAACACAGTTTACAGAAGTCGCATGGAAGATACAGCCTAACAAGTATGAGAACTTGAGTTTCTTGAATGTTTTACTTAGACTTTATAAATCTAAGTTATTTTATCAATATCAGAATCATGTGTAATAGAAACCTGTGAAAAATATAAAAGTGCCACCATGCTTCCACATCACTGTGCTTCCACATAACTGTGCCTCCACATTAATTTTTATATTAATGGGGAGGCACAGTGATATGAAAACATGATGGCACTTTCAAAGAAAAGAATGCATATAAAAAATGATTTGCTAGGATAAGATAGCATTTTTATAATAGCTAGTGTTCTTCCTATCCATTTAAGCACTTGTCTTTTCATCATATTTCACATTTTATGTATTCTTTGCCATAGCACATCTTATGGATATCCTGAAACAAATGCTCTGGCCTACAATGAAGTGGTACATAGAAATTCTGCATTTTATTCTTTTCACGCTTTTGCACATGCGTATTTTTGGGCATGCGCACATGTCTAGACTAGTGTGCTTAAAGTACTGAACATGTGAATCGTCAAAACGTGTTTGAAAAATTTAATATCACTCACAAAGTTATCCTATACCTTACTCAGCCTTTAAAAGCATGTCCAGGTACCGCGGAATGATCAGGTAACGCATAGAAAACAATGGATTCAAATTCAATTGAACTTACTTTGCCATATCACGCATGCATGAATATTTACCCCTTCCGAATTATCGATGATTTACGCTACCTGATGTTCCACGGTTCCTGATGTTTAACACTCAACTTTTTGAGTGTTTTTGCTTTTTTGTTGTTTGTTTTTACAATGTTTTCCCGCTTTTTTGCCATTTTCATGCCCCTAAACTTTTCCATGCGTATGTATTCATTTTCACTGAAAATAATAAAAATCAGCGGATTTTACATTCTCTGACTTTCACCATAAACGTGAATGTCGTCCACTTAGTCTATGATGTTGTGTACAGTGGTGAAGCTGACCTGCAAGTATGGTCGTGCTATTTATGTAAATTTCTCATCATTAGCAAATGTCATCATTTCTTCAAGAAATCTATTGTTCTAATGTGGAACATCAAAATATTTACTTAGCTTGAACAAACTTGTCGGCTGAATAACTTAGTTTCTGTTTGTTACCTCTAAAAATGCCCAATCCCTGCTATTATGTGCGAACATTTTGAGTGCACAATGATGTGTTGAAATCAACGTTAACACGCATCTTTTTAAGGACAATATCCTGTTCGCGGGCTGTGGTGATAACAACTTATATCAATGGGACATGGAAACTAGACAACTTCGAGTAAGACAAGACCTATAAAATGTCAACAAATGAATATTTTAAAATTGCTGCCGAAGACAAAAAGCATCGCATTTAGATATATTATAGAACCACAACCTTTGCCAATACACAGAATCTCTTCCTTTAACAGGATATCTTTCAAGGACATACTGATTATATACAATGTCTTGCGCTTCGGGAAACGAATAATGAAATATTCAGTGCCTCCGAGGATGGTACAGTAAGGGTCTGGGGTGAGTTTTTGACTTACGTAATCCTTAGAGTTAACCTTCTAATGGTTTAACTTTGAATTAAAATTCCGTGGACTTTTCTTGTTAGATTGTAAAAACAGAAGCAATAAGGAAAACCACTGCATAAAACCAAACGAAAACGAGGTATAACTAAGAGCAACACATTCGTACAATTTATTTGTTTAAGGTTTGCTTATTTCAAATTTTTATTGTACAGGATATTTGTCGTGTTTCATTTGGTAAATGGATCAGTTGCCTGGCATTGAGTAGTACCCAGGACTGGATGGTATAGAACCCAATTTGCTTGTCCAGCATGGTCAATTCGCAACTGTTGGGGGAGGGGTGGTTGCATCAATTGCATTTAAACTGGTAAAATATTCTGCAAAACTGGAATGGTGTTATTAGTTACAATATTGAGTATGATATCCAACGTTTTAGCGGGGAAGGAAGGAATTTATCTTATTTCATTCGCTAAATGAATGGGTTGTTTGATAATGATCTAAAATCATGCATGGAGAACATGATTTATATAGTACCACTTTAAACAACTATCTAAAATTACGCCTTGAGGCTTTAGAACGTGATTTATATAGTATCACTTTAAACAATTATCTAAAATTACGCCTGGAGGCTTAAGAACATGATTTATATAGTACCACTTTAAATAATTATCTAAAATTACGCCTCGAGGTTTTAGAACTTGATTTATATAGTACAACTTACGAAATCATGCCTGGAGACTAAAAAACACGATTACAAAGAACCACTTTAAGCAATGATTTAAAATCAGGCCTGAGGGCTGAAAAACGCGATTTATATAAAACACCACTTCAAACAATGGCAATTATTCATACATTCATGATACGCTGTATTAATATCTTTCGAAATGTATTGTTACCTACGGATTTGAAACATGCATAGATATGAATAAGAGCCCCAACCCCCACACCCCCAATTACAGATGGCAATACATCCCTGGATCTAAGGTTATGCCTGAAGGCTTTAGAACTCGATTTATAAAACATCACTTTAAATAATAATCTAAAACATGATTTTTATAGTACCACCACCGAATAAATTTCTTAACAGAAGGTCTACTCACGTCGGAACCTTTGATATTCGTGTCATCTGCTCTCTGAAGCAAATTCTAAAGAAGACACGTCTTTCGGCAAGATACTTTCGCTAGATCGCAATAGAAAATATACATGTTTTTACAAATATATCGTTTTGCACTACAAAAGCTTGGAACCTTATCTTCTTTGTAAGATGATAACTCTTTGTAAAAATTTTGGCAATTTTTTTCTTTAAACTTGAATTATTAGTAAAATAGCATTCTCGTGCAATACTATTCCATGTCGATTTTTTGAAAGTATCCTGCTGGGAAGTCACGCATGCGTAGTGAAAAAATATGACACGATTTTAGCCGAGTGGACCTTCTGTTAGATGTCTATTCTGTGGTACCACTTAAAACGTCATGGTTAAAGTGTATACTGGGATTGTAAATATTCATATATTAAGCTCTGTCCAACTTATTTCTTTTGAAATTAAAATTGCTAACAAACAAAATCAGTTGGGCAGAACTGAATATATGAATATCCACACCCCCCTAATTAACGTTCTAGTTTTGGCCCTGCGAATGAATGATAATTTGTTGTTGATTACTCACCTATTGACAAAACTAGTTATGCCGCTGACCGCGTTGCTGCTTTGTTTCCAGGCATGCGGTGGAGGTCCGCGGCTGTCACTTTGGCATTTGTCGTCATATACCTGTACAAGTGTCATGGATACACCAGAATCTACGCAACATGCGGTCGTGTTTCATAGAGATCTTGTAAGCAATATGAACATATTTCATTTATACATACGTAGCAAAAAAATGTTTAACGAATTACTACCATTGGGATAGTGGTTGAAAATTTAGGAACAATGAAGGTTGATTTGGAGGTGGTATGTTCCATTACCTTTGTTGAGGAGTCAAGAGGTATGACTCCAGTCACTTTTAGTCAGCAACAAGTGTGTAAATTTTTTGGGAAAATTTATCGTGCATTTAATCATGTATTTAACTAACATGAAAAATTCAATAAGGGTTTCGTGTTTACCAATTTTATGAATTGTAAGGTTTAGTTTCGTGAGATAGTTTTTCCCTTCATATTCGCCATTTTCGTGTACCGTTAAAAATGCTTTATTTTGAATACCAACATAACTGCTTCCTCTACGTTTATGATGATCACTGGGAAATAACCAAAAACATACTATGTACCCACTTTCGCGGCATGATGTCTTGTTTGTTTTAAGATATTGTCCGCTGGCCAGTCGCCTTTCATTTACAACTGGCAAACGAATGGAGATCTAAAGACAAAAGTGCCTGTATCTGCAAGCACTCTTTATTCAATAAATATTAACCGTTCGCCTGGACGTGAGGTAAATCAGCAACATGTTTCTTACGTCATCAAGCACCGTATACATTGTCTGAATACCATCTACCACAAAGTTGTAAGTAGGTGACAAGGCTCGGCCACGACGGATGACTTGCTTACATCAAAAACTTTCGCATACTTTTGTGTATTGAAAAAGGATTTCTGAAATCTTTGCTTTTCACATTGGCTATTAACAAAGCACTTATTGTAATAAAAGATTATGAAGATGACACAGTATCCTGTCTAAGCTTACTTTACGTGGCTGATTCTTACGTTTTATAAACTGCTGTCTACTTGGTTCCTTAATTATATTCTTCTCTCTACCTTAACTGTATCTTATTTATATCCTCGATGTCTCAATTGTAACCTTTTCTGTCTTTTTTTATCCTTCTCTGTACCTTAACTGTAACCTTCTTGGTTTCTGTTTTACATCCTCGATGTCTCAATTGTAACCTTCTTTGCCCTTATTCGTATCCTCAATGTTTCAATTGTAATCTACTTTGTTCATTATCTTTATCCTTTCATGTACTTAACTGTAACCTATTTGATTTCCTATTTATATCCTCAATGTCTCAAATGTTACCTACTTTGTCCCTTAGTTTTATCCTTCTTTGTACCTTAACTGTAACCTATTTATGATCACGTTTTCTTTTTCTTTCAGATGATGGTCGCCGCGGGAAATTGTGCCAGTATCGATGTATTCACAAACTTTGGTTATAAATCGTTATCGTTAAGTTTTGAATGACGTCTTTTAGTGTAAAAAGTCAACAACTGTACTAATATACTTTAAATTTTGCTTTGCTAGCATTGAATGAATTCTTACAATTTTTTCTGACAGTGTTGATGTTAGTTTGAATTTTTGACATGAGGTCGAAAAAATTCATGAGACGAGTATTGTTCACAAACCTGCAAAAACATCGTGCAATACTACCAAATGATTTAGAACCTATTTCTCTAGATATCTAACTAACGTGTCAATGTGAGGCAAGGACGCCATCTTGAAAGGTGGCAAAAAGCATAAATCAACAAGAAAAAAAAGCTAAAAGAAGTTTTAAAAACCCTATCCTATCAAACATTTTAAAAACAAAACCTTGACTATCAATTTTGGAACTGTAGATCAACTCAGGAAAAGCAGATATTAATCGTAAATATCGTCAGTTTTGCCACCTTTCAAGATGGCGGCTTGCCTCACCGAGTCAGATATCTAGTAGATTGGGCTCTTGGTCATTGATACCTGTAAAATTTTTGTTGAGAATTGAATATGTTGTATGCATGCATAGCAACTCAAGTTTCAACGTCCGATCACTGCTATTGAAGGCATTAGATGGAGTATGTAAGGATCCGAGTTTCCACATCAGATAACTCCTGATGAAGACATTAGACTGGAGTATATAAGGACTAAAGTTTCAACATCAGATCACTCCTGATGAAGACATTAGACTGGAGTATATAAGAACTCAAGTTTCAACATCAGATCACTTCAGATGAAGACATTAGACTGGAGTATATAAGTTCTCAAGTTTCAACATCAGAAAACTCATGATGAAGACATTAGACTGGAGTATATAAGTACTTAAGTTTCAACATAAGATAATTCCTGATGAAGGCATTAGACTGGAATATATAAGAACTCAAATTTCAACATCAGATCATTCCTGTTGAAGACACTAGACTGAAGTATATAAGAACTCAAATTTCAACATCAGATCACTCATGTTGAAGACACTAGACTGAAGTATATAAGAACTCAAATTTCAACATCAGATCACTCCAGTTGAAGACACTAGACTGAAGTATATAAGAACTCAAATTTCAACATCAGATCACTCATGTTGAAGACACTAGACTGAAGTATATAAGAACTCAAGTTTTAACTTCAGATTACCTCTGGGACACTATGCAGCAGTATATAAACTATGATAATTCATTATAAAATCGCTTCTACTTAAGGAAATTAAGAAAGAAAATATTTTTAATTTATTTTATTTTCCATGTAGACGTTGTTTTTCAAATTTTATTTTAAATAAAGTGGGCATTTGTAATGCTTTACTGCGTTAGAGTACTGGGGCCTGTTGCACGAAGCCTGGATAGCGTTATCCAATGGATAGTAAATTTTTCTGAACGTTCATAAAATGTCTTGTATGAGAATAATATACGATTTGAAATGTGCATTCGCTGAAATAAAATATTGTTTCGATGATTACAAAATTTCATTGTCGTAAAAAAAATATAAACACCTTTTTTACAAGTTTGAAAATTTTTGCTATCCAATGGATATCGCTATCCAGGCTTCGTGCAACCGGCCCCAGATTTGTAAATTATTTATCAGCTAGTTTTTGTGTTCTAAACTAACCCTGAACGATCGAATTTCGGTTTAAGCTAGGAATTTAGTCATCAATTAGTTTTCAGGCTAGAAACTCCCACCAAACCAATACTGAGTGGTTGATGTTGAATTTCGAGCGCATTTGTGCCTTGAATCATATTGTTCATACACACCAACGACGTTTTCGTTTATTTTTATGAGCCAGAATGAAAGTTACATTTCTTCTCAGTTAAATATGCATTGATGGTTAAAATTTCTGAATTCTTTTGCATTACCCAAACATGACAGTTGTAACATTCTTTCCCTCTTAGTTTTATATAATCAACTCGATGACACTGACCTAAAGATAAAACACAAGTTGATCAGACTGTCAGTTCATATTGCAATTTTCAAAAATACAAAATTATATGTCTGTGCTCTGTAGCTATGTAATCTTTTGAAGATAGCGATTAGTTTAAAATAATATCATAAATCAAGTCTTTCCTCGCCATATCCACTAACCTCTACCATATCCACTAACCTCTACCATATCCACTAACCTCCTACTTAATCCTAGTCTTAACCCTGATCACAACCAAAAACGAAACCCTACGAGTTTTCTATTTTCGCCAAAGATGGCGAGCAATATCAAATTCATTGTAAATTTCACTACTTAGGAACATCAAATGCACTGTTTGAATGTTATCACTAGCCAGCAGCCACTATGCTTGTTTCAAATACGATATACTTAAGCGGATTTACACGATTCTGCTTAACAATAAAACATCGAAGTATCCCCAAAAAAATTACTGTTTTCTACGAGTTTCTTTTCTCATCATTTCTTACTTCCCAAAAAAACAAAGCTCCTTTTTACTCAATAAACTCTGTTCACTTACCATATTTCTTTAAACAGCCAAACTTCTTAGTGTCGTTCACAATCTCCTTGTCGCTTAATGCTGAGTTATAAATCTTCACGCAAGCGACACGGCCATTATAAAACCCGTTGTCTCCGTTGAGCAAAGCACCAATAATCAAACCATAATTACTAAATGTTCCCAGTTTTCTAGACGGGTAAATGTTTTTGCGGACTATGCGCTAAAAAAAAAAAGGAAGGTAATATTTCAGAAAGTATCAATTGTTGACAAAGAAAAAGCTAGAGACAGATTGAAATTGCAAGAATCAATCATGCTTCGAAAAAGCAACATCTCGTAGCATGAAGATAAGAGGTTTTTTCAAAACAAGACATGCGCGTAATATATGTAACTAATTTTCATACAATCCACTGTTCAGCATATAAATTCAAATTGCAAATCTGCATGGTTAGTCAAGACATCTAAGCAAAATGTATTTAAGCTAACTTAACTTCCTGTCTTCTAAAGCCTGTTCTCCACTTGCCACGTATCGTAACGTATCGTAGCAAAACATAACAGCGCATGCGTGCTTGTGCATATTGACCATCAAATTCATAAGCACGCATGCGCCATGTTATGTTTTGCTACGATACGTTACGATACGTGGCTAGTGGAAAACAGGCTTTAGTCCAATATCCCATTCGCAGATTTATAGGGTAGGTTAAAATCATTGGCAAAGCCAAGTCGGCAAGTTTACTCGTGCTGTGTAAATTGCAGATGAACAGCATTGTTATCATGTTTAGAAATATAGTGTTTGCATTTTGTAAGTTTAGACACAAAAATATTTACATAGTAAGACCAAACTTGCAGGTTGGCTGCGCCGCTGGTCATTCATCAATACATTGAAATGTTAATTTGATTAGTGAAAAATGTCTTTGTTAATTTACAATTACTACAATTCTTGCAAAGGAATTTGATAGTAAAAATTAGTAAAAATATTTTGGTAAAAATATTTTGGTAAAATTAAGTTTGAGTTTTTGAAATATGATATTGGTATATATACCTGACCATCCAGGCAAATGCTTTGCTCTTGTCGATAAAAGTCATATTTGACTGCAATGCTGTACCATGTGTATCGATTGATTTTTGAGTCTGACGTCAATGGCTTTATCTCGTTATTGAAAAATGTTAACGATCATTACTAATAAGATACGGCAATGAAATTGTTAGGACTGACCATCTACAGCTCAGGTCACTTAAGATAAAGTGGCTTGACGGCAGTGTATACAATTAAGGAGTTAAGTTTCAACATTAGGTTTCCCTTAATGGAGACACTAGACTATATAATACATAACGAGAAAAATTTCAACATCGGATTATTCTAGATGAAGGCACTAAAGTGGAGTATATAAGGAATTCAATTTTATGCAATCAAATTACTCCAGAAACATTGTAGGAAACAAACAATGAGACCACTCAATTTTACTTTATTGTGTGATGCATATTTCACTAAACATACCATAAGGTAAATGGTTTAAACCCGGGAATATCGTCACATGTTTGTAAATGTAGATCACAATACAATGACGTAAGAACCAGATAACAAATGCGGATAACCTGACGTTTACTCCTCATTTGACTCTGAAGATGACTACCGCTAAGGTTGTCGAAATGTCAGTCAACAACAACAAAAACAGTCCTTCTCAGGACTATACCAACCTGGACGATCTACATTTACAAACATGTAAACATACCATGTTGGTAACTTTTCAGTATTTTATTGTCTAAGGAACAGGAACTATGCATTATTTATATTGTACTGTAAACAAAACCCAATGGCAACCCTGTTTTTTTACTCCTATACAATATAAGTATAATGGATTTGCCATTGCAGACTAGAGAAAACTCATATTAATTGTATAAGAACATTTCTGATAAACACAAACACATGTGTATTCAAGTAAAAAAATCCCACTAAAGCAAGATAATGAAAACATTTTTATAATTTTAATATTCTAATGCGTAGCAAAGAAAAGAATTGTCTTACCGGAAGTAAATTTTTTTATTATTTTACGAAAGACGGGTCCCTTGACCATTTTGATTTGTCCATCCGAGCAATTGTGCATAAATTGTTTGGTATGTGTACACTTGCATAAAGATCGTGAGACTGTAGGAAAAATCCAGGCGTCCATTGTTATTATGTAGCTGAACGAGAAAAATTGCCATCAGTTGAAACAAAGTATGGGAAAAATAAATACATGATTAAATTCATAAACGAAAAATACATAAATACATTAACAATTTAAAAAGGATTTATGCAAACACAGAAATTGCTTACCAGACTGAACAACTGATTCAAATGTGATAGCACAAAAAAGTTACCGTATATTTACCGTATATTTTTCCGTAAAGCAATAGCTACTTTTTAAATACATAATGAACCTTAACACATCTAAACATTCTTTGGGTGATGATAAAACTGGGGTATAGAAATAATTTCATGGTAATGTAAATGTGCTGGTTTGCCATCTCCATTTGAGATCAGGTTTTGTTTGCCAGCTATTGTTCGTAGCAATGGTGCTTCAAAATGGAATGAAGATTTTACGCTATGAGAAAGTTTGTATGCGTCATCGATGAAGACCAATGAAGTATAAACCAACTTTGCTTTGTTTCGTGTTTTAAGCAACCTTAGTTGATCAGCTGAACTTAAGTACCATGAACTGACCACGTTATTACATTAGCGTTCATGTAATAACAAACCGATACGATTTATCTTTGCTGTTTGATCATCGTTCGTCTTCGCGAAAAACCACTTTTTTTCTCCACATGTACGCTTATGTAATAATGCTCCGTATAATTTGTTCGATTTGTTTGTCCGAGTAAATGCTGTTTTCACCACGTGCGTGGTCACACGTGTATGCCAGGCTGGTAATGGTATATTCTCTGTCTTCTTTCAGGTTCTTCAAAAAAGAGGTTCGAGAATGTAAATCGTATGTTGTGTATTATGAAAAAAAATTGACTTCATTTTGGTTGGCTGCTGGCAAGCTACCGAGGAAAGACTATTTGTTGACTTTAGTTATTATTGTATATAGCGTATATATGTCCCTGACTGTTGGGAAGGGCTAGTGGGACTGGTAAGGGGGTGAAGAAGTGACTTGTTCCAGTCCGTACCACAAATATTAATCAAGGAATGTAAGCGAATGGGAGTGCATTTATTAATACAATGTACAAATGAAAAAGTTGTCGAATTGCGCTCGCCGGCTATAATGCAAAAGAAAATATTGTGCATTCTGATCAAGTGAATGCATGTGTGTCTTCAAGGGGTCAGAAAACTCCCAATTTTATACTTATTATTTATTGACCGTCATAGCCCATTTTGATTCGTTGAACTTTTTTAAAATTACATATAAAATTGGATATTATTGAATTGTGAGATGTTTGTTTTTACACCTCACTAGCCCAAACATAGCACTAAACAGATTTATCTCATTGAAATGATTCAATGTTGTAAGTAGTCATAGTTTTTGTTTATAAATATATCATTTCGTTAAATAATAGAAGAAATCTCCTTTTTGTGTTGAATGAAATTAAGGCAATTTTTGAATTGTTGCTAAACAAAACGATGCAAAGACTCTCGACTCATCAATCCTATTTTCCTTTACCTTGGTAGAGCGTTGCAATTTGATAACTTTGAACGCTGTTCAATGGAAAGAAAAGACTGCCTGGTTTATATATCTATGTGACTAATTTAATTTTAGATTTTTAGTCTATATAAAATGTTGTTCGTTCGTAATGCTTGCCACATACCTTATATTCCGCACTCATAATCAAAAATGTTTAATAAGCGCCGCGGTGGTAGTACGAGAATGTACTATGATAGACCATGATGTAATATCCCAAGTAGCCAATAAAATTGAAGTTTTTATTTATGAACATTAAAATTCGTCAATTACGACAAATTATGCAAAACGTTTTTTGAAACACAAACAAAGTATAAGGCTCGAGGAGTATATTGGAGAAAGTATCGTTATCGCAAATCTCGTCTTGCTAATCTTCGCGCTGCTGAATAATTGGTCAAACAATTTCTAACACTCATTAAAGTAAGAATTGAATCTTTGTATCATACTGTTTTAAAACAATTGGGTTTGATTTTGTGAACGCACCGGTTAAAGAACTTTCGGGGAGAAATTCACTTTAGGTTTAAACCATTTGGGATTAAGGACTTGGAGTTTGAGCAATCGACCAGCCAATGCATAAGGCGATGCGCTTGTGAGACGTCTGTAATGTGGCAAATTGAGATAAAATTGTAACATGTTGAATGCCAAAAAGTTTCTTCTATAATTGCTGCTATCCGCCAGTGTAAAGCTAACACAACATTGTCTGCAAATTAAGACATCGCTCTGAGATTTCAGAAATTTGCTAAGCAAGAATCTAAATGTGTGCGAAATTTTCTCCGTGGATATGCGTGACTGAACATATTGGAGATGTCATTTGTGCCGTCGCTTTGTTTGCATTCTTTCTGTCTGTCGTACAGTTGTCAGCTATTATAAAAGGGTAGCCCATTTAACCATATTTGTAGTGGCATTATCTTTATTTCTGCTCCTAAATCTAGAATACAGTCACAAAACACATCTGGTCTCATTCTCAACAACAGTCTTGAATTGCCCCAAAAGCACGTTTCTTCTAAAATTTTCAGGGTTTGTTCGCGGTTTTTGTTGCCAACCAGTTCAATGACGGTTTTGCAAATTCATCCGTTATTTTTAGCATCTTGTAAATGCAATATAACCCTGAAAACCTGTTCCCTCAGTAACCCTGAGAACCTGTTCCTCTGTCACAAGTGCTCCTGAGTCTGCTATTTTATATTAGTCATACTACGCTACACATCACTTGTTAATTTCGAAAGTTTCTTAATTGTTGTTCAAATATAGCTCTTTTCAGAACTTGAATATATCTTTTTTTTGCTTTTTTTCTGACTCAATTCATATTCTAAAGTATTCAATTTTTTATCTTGAGCAATCTTGACCACTTCGTTTTATGGAACCTGCTCTTTGAGACTGCAATCTCTGTTTAGACACTATTTTGAAAGCATTAAGATTTCTTTAATGCGGTTGCGTGGCAGGAAAAGACATTACGCAAAGAAATGCTTTTGAATCTGAGTAGTGCACTTGACTTGAAATGGCTTCAACATTGTTGATCATAAATTTGAATTCGTCGAATTTATATTGAAATGTTGAATTTATGTATTGCAAATATTTTTTGTTTATTAACTGAAAGAATTTCCTGACAAATCTGTTGTAATTTTGTGCGAAAAGTTTGTGCACGGAGAGTAAAAATTACTGGTAGCTTCACCACTGTTTGTATTAAGTCAAACTTTGCCTTAACAACTTAGTTTGAACATGAAATGAAACATGAATAAGTGTAGCTATAATTCACGTAGTTGAATTTGAAGTCATCGTCTCTTTTTGGAAAAAAGATTTGGAAACAAGGATAAAATTTTCCCTGTTCCCAAACACTTCCATCAATCATGTTGTTTAGCTTTTTTATACGTAACATATTGCAAGCATTGTTTACACATCGTACGACGTATTAGGCGCCCTGGTATTCCTGTAAATTATAAAAATAGTGAAACACTGCCACTTTTAAAAAAGATGACCACCTGCTCCAGGTTGAGATGCAATGAATGAGCCTCATTAATAAGCAAAGAAGACATTACAACTATCTTCTTTCATTTAGAAGGAGCTTGATTATATAGTATTAGTCTACCGACATATATTAATGGGAGAAAATTTAGACACCAACAAAATATTGAAATGGCATCAGGCGAATAAAGTAAAAAACACAACCCAGCTTGAAACATTTTTGTAAATTTCTCCACTGTTATCTGTCATCTCTTGTCATCATTTATGAAGACTTTACTATTATTTCCAGCGGCATAGCAAGGCTGGCTGCAAGTTTGGTCTTCACTCGCCCAAAAAATACATTTCAAAACAAATAAACATTGCCGATGATCTGAATGATCAGAACAATGACAGTGAATTTACATAGAGCACGACCAAACTTGCAGGCTGGCGACAACACCTGTTTTCTCATTAATTTTTCTTTTACGTTCCATCTCAAAGGTATTTTGTAAATGGCCTACGAAGGATTTAAGACGTTTAATGTAAAAATAAAGGAAGGAGTTGCTTGGGTAACCTTTGACTTTCCTCCAGTTAACGTCCAAGGAAAACCGATGCTCGATGATCTCAATAGGTTAGCTGAGTTGCTCGAGAAAGACCGCACCGTGAAGGTTGTCGTGTTCCAATCGGCTCATCCGGAAATCTTTGTATGTCATGCAGATATCGACATGTTGGTGGACATTCCAGCGGCGGCACGAAGTCGCTCCGAGCCACTCTTATACCTGCAGGAAGTGCTGCAACGAATCAGCGATCTTCCCCAGGCGACCATTGCCAAAGTCGAGGGGGTGGCTAGAGGAGGTGGTCATGAGTTCATGCTTGCATGTGATATGAGGTTTGCAGCACGTGGCAAGTCCGTGTTCATGCAGATGGAAGTTGGTATGGGCATTGTCCCCTGCGGTGGAGGTAGGTGTTGCTATTGTTAACGCGCTGTCATTTATCACGTGAGCATGACTTCATAAGATTGCCGTGAAAATATTTAAAATTAGAAAAGTATGATCAATAAATAATTTTATAAAGAGTAAAACATTATTATATTTAGAGTAAAACATTATTTAACAGTTCAGTGAAATAGTATTGCAATTTTACATTAGGGTATTGTATCTCCTTCACAGAGGCTACGAGTTTCATACAAATATAGTATTTGTGCTAGATATATAACAACAAGAGCTATACAACTTTTAAAAAAATGTGCCCTCCAGTTTATTTTTTCAACATTGTATTTACTTTGTAGTGAAAAATAATTTGCATGTGTATAGCAAACTATGAAAATGCAGGCACTTCATTTAATCCTGTAATGCAATTCTTTCTCCAATCTCTCACTGCAGAAGTAATGGTTTCATTTGTAATGTAATGAATGATTGATTACAAAGCTGAAAGAAAAAAAACACTTGTAACCAATCAGTTAAGCACTGTTTACTGAATATAAAACAATGATATGTGATGATATGTTAGCATGGGTCATCGCATAAGTAAAAGATTTACACGAATCAATTGCATTTTTCTTTGTGTAGGCACACAGCGTCTTGCTCGTCAAATGGGTATGGGTCGGGCCATGGAAATCATTTTGGGTGCGCGCGACTTTGATGCAGATTTAGCAGAGCGATATGGTTCCATCAATCGAGCTCTGGAACCCAATGAAATCGGACCGTTTGTAGAGAAGCTAGCCAATCGTATCGCTAAATTTCCCGCCGGCTCTATTGCAGCGTGCAAAAGATGTGTTATTAAGGTAAGAAATAACTTAGTTAGTCCTTTTATTATCTGTTTGACTTTCTTGTGTTTCTTCAATTTGAAGCAAATGTTTGAGTTCTCTCAATATTAATATTTTCATTCCAGATTGAAATTGAGTGTCAACCTCATGTAAATACGAATTGAGTTTCATTGTGCAATGAGATTATGATTTTAGTGATGAAGCACGCAAGTGCCATGGGTATTGTGTTCTTGGAAATTGAAGCTCGTAAGCAAATAAGGCAGCTAAATGGGCTAAAATGAATGCAAAGAAAAACAACAATTAACTTCATGCAAATGTTAAGCTGTGTTGACGCAGAAACAATAGAAAAGAAAAGGGTTATATATGTTGTAATGTTTATGTTCGCCATCTTCAAATTTCAATCGGGATTGAAAGTCATTCTGGATTCATGTAAACACCCGTAAGACAAAACGTCATCTAGCTTAGTATGGCAAGTGTATCCTAGAAATTTGAGAAATTCACTCATTTGAACTAATAATTATTACAGGCTGTCGAAACACCTATTGACGAAGGTCTCAAAGAGGAAGCGTATCAACTCGGTCAAGCAATGGCCTCCACACCAGGAGCAAGGCGCTTTGCGTTTGCAAAGAAGAACGACATGCAGAATAACTTAGAAAACCAGAGGAATTGGGAAAAAGGTGTGATGGATATTCAAAATGTAGAATGAAGCAATATACGCCCAGGTTAAATTGAAGTTGGATTGATTTGATAACTTTAAGTTTAAAATTATTGTTAAAATTTGCACATCACAACACTGTATTATCAATTGATGAGTATATCAAGTTTTCAATAAAATTCAGGTATCCAAAACTCAATGTATCAACGGCCGTGGCAATTGAAAAATATCATCAATTATTTAAAACGCGAGGGCTATTTTAGACCCCTAGCAGCTCCTAAACCTTGTATTTAGATAAATGGTATCAACCAATGCAAGACTTTGTGACTCATTTACTCCAGATGTACTGACTTCAAGAAATGCAAAAGTTGAAGAGGACAGCAGAGTTGGGTGAGATTAGGTTGCATCGAGCCCCACTTTGTCATTGGATAAACAATATATTAGGAAAATTTAGTGCCCTACCTATATAGCATGTTCTCATATAATTCTGACCCCTCCTTTAAGCAGGCTTTGCAGTCCCCAACACAATCAACAGAGTGCACAAGTTGAAAAGCATGATATCCGACCGCTGGCTATTACCAGGACTTTATTTCTGTCATCGCCAAACATGGAGGTACGGGGCCAAAAGAAATAAGGGTGTGACATTTTCTTGTCCGAAACACTATATGCCTGGATTGCTTGTCTAAAACATATTAATAAGATCAATATTCAATAATATTGCTAAACTGTTTTACTACTTCATGTTTGTGTATTCATTGCTTGAGTACTTTAACCTTTACTAACTGATATCGTACCATACTTAGCTGTTTGTGGACAAAATATTCTATCCATTTATCATAAGCTTGAAAGTCACCATTGCTTGGAATTGGTTGGAAATTTTGCACAAAGTGGCAAAAAATGCATGTAAGAACGAAAAAAGCTGCAATTTATTGCAAATAATGCATAGAAGTCCATGGATGGTTAAAAAAACAAGCAAGAAATATAAGCAGTGATGTAGGAAAAAGAGGTCCCAGGAGCAAGGGCTTACTAGAAGATTTGTCAAATAATTTATTATGTAACTATGAATTCATTAGTCAGACATCATAAAAATTAGATCAGTAGGAATTCGTCAGCTTATTGCCAAAGAGTTACCAATGGTTAACACGTGGGAAATGTAAATATGGCGTACAATTTGTAAATTTCTCCATGCTTTCAATTTCAATGTTTTTGCATTTCTGTGCACCATAAAGCATCCTACTAGATATTCATGATCACCTTGTCCTCAAACATTAAAGAGACCTTGGGCAAAGTTTGCTTGAAAATTCCTTGAAAAAAAGCTTATAGTGAAGGAATGTAGTTCTTTTGCCCAAAAATAGAATTTGCACATGAAGCAGAAGAAAAATGACGCTTTAAAGTTTATACACTTAATAAAAGACAATATTATTTTGATAAAAGATTGTGTTGCTTCCACTTTTACGTTTTTTCATAATGAAATTGTTATTCTGTTAAATTTTAACAATAGAAAAAGAATTCCTATAAAGTGAAAAACACAGCTCTTTTTTTGATACACCTGCTTTGAATACTTCTCTTGTTAGTTTTCTGTTGTCATACGACGTTAAACTGTCAACTTATTCCACTCATATATATTTAATTCAATGTAAATGAGAAAGCCTGAAGGACATATATAATGACGGATGACAAATATTGCCATGTAAATTTTAAAACCTTTATGTTGCTGCACCCCAAATATGTATTAGATAAAAATACTTTTTTTACATACTCAAGCTACGTGCAAATGCTTTAATCCGACAGCATTGTTCAAATAAATAGCAAAGGAAAATTTCAAAGAGAATTTGCCCTGTAATAAAATTTCTTCGTATTTGCTTTTTAAAATTAGTTTTGTTAATTAAAGTGATTAATTTGTTTATTGTATTGTGCACAAATGTCATGTACGTTGCACGATAAAATCTTTAACTTTATTCTGGATCACATAATTTTGAAATTGACGTTAGTTTAAATGATTTATTTTCGAACATTCATTGTACAACGAAGTCGTCTCAAAAAAACAAACTTCACAACTCAATAACAACATCTCCAATCTATAATGTTAACAACAACTCGCCCCTTCTGTTATAATCCCAAAGTGTCAATCACGTGAAATGCACGCAATCCGCAACAACAAAAACAAAAAAACAAATGTTCATCACACTCCCGACGTTGATCATATTTATCAATTTATTTCTACGAGTTTTTACTATTTGACTGTCGCAGTAGGTCTCCAATCACGGCTGCAGTTCTTCGTTGTCGGGTTTTCATAGAGTTTTTGTCTTTAGACTCAATTCCACTAGTGGTTTTGGGAACCACGATACTTGCTGGAAGCATATTCAACTCAAGTGGTATAAGTTGTTGTATTTGACGACGTAGTTTTGACGATCGAGCCCTTGTAGTACTCGCAACACAGACCTTTGCTGCTCGAACAACACCATCCTTACTTACTATGATAAGTAACTCTTGCCAATTTCCACAAAATTCGAGGGGAAAGATCATTTTTGAACACAACAACATCACCGACAGTTATCTTCTCCTTCTGTGCTCCATGAAGTAAGCGTGAAGTCTTTCTGACACTTAAAAGATATTCCGTTTTCAAACGATTAATAAATTGATGTAACAATCGTTTCTGATATTTCTCCTTTCTGGTTAGAGTTCGATTCGTACTGATGATTTCAAATTGTCGATCACTAGCCGTAAGAGTAAGTTGCCGTCCGTAAATTAATCGAGATGGAGTCAGATGGTAAGAAATTCCTTCTTGTTCATCATAGATATATGTAAAGTAAATGGTTTGAACCCGGGAGTATCGTTATATGTTTGTAAATGATGATCGTCCAGGTTAATAAAGTCCCGAGAAGGACTGTTTTTGATGTTGTTGACTGACGTTTTGACAACCTTAGCGGTAGTCATCTTCAGAGTCAAATGAGGAGTAAACGTCAGGTTAGCCGTATTTGTTGTCTGGTTCTTACGTCATTGTATTGTGTGTACAGGAAATGTGCAGGAAATGTGTATTGTCATTGTGGATTAGTTTGAAGTGAAATATTTTATTTTTAGTTGTGATGTGTGATTTAGGTGTGACGTTTTTAGTTGTAGTGTGAGGGTGTCAATTGTGTATTGTCATTGTGAATTAGTTTGAAGTGTAATGTTTTTAGTTGATCGTTTGTTTGTATTGTGAATAAGTCGTTTGTAAGGTGCCGGTAATTGCTGTGATCTGTTCAGGGGGGTTTGTTCCAAGTTGGTATACCAACTTTCTAATGTAAGCCGTTGTCTATAGTCAGTACTGTAAGTGATGCATTTTGCCGAATCCCAGTCAATGTTGTGCTTTGTGATTCGGTGATGTTCGGCAATGTGATTAGTTTTGTCTTGTTTTTTAGTAGCTCGTTTGTGCTCAGTAAGTCTTATGTTTAAGTTCCTGCCAGTTTCCCCGATATAGGAGGCGTGGCAGTCGGAGCAGTTTATTTTGTAAACGGCACCTTGTCGTTCGTTGGGTCGTTCTTTGTCCTTTATGTTCGTTAGTACTTGTCGTAATGTTGTGATTGGTTTATGTGCGACACGTATGTTGTATGGTCGTAAGATACGCGAGATAGTCTCAGACGTACCTTTGATGTAAGGTATCGTTGCTGTTGTCACTGAGTTGCTCGTTTCGTTGCGTTCGTTGGGTTTGTAAGTGTTGCGTTTGATAAAGTCAGAGTTATAGTTGTTTTTGTCAAAAACACGTTTGAGATAGTTGTTTTCGTTTCGTAGAGCGTCCGGTGAATCACATATGATTTGTGCACGTCTTGTTAATGTTCTGATTGTGGTGGCTTTGTGTGATGTAGGGTTGTAAGATGATTGGTCTAGTAGTCGGTCAGTATGTGTTGGCTTGCGATAAACTGTTGTTCCTAGTTTTTGATTGTCATGTTTTACCAAACAGTCGAGAAAAGGAAGAGTTCCGTTTTCTTCGACATCTTTGGTAAATTGTATGTGGCTGTTCTGTTTGTTGATGTGAGTATGGAAGTCATCAATCTCGTCTGCATGTAGTGCTGTGATTGTGTCATCTACGTAGCGAAACCAAAAAGGTAGTGCATGTTTGTAAGTCATGAGTGCCCGTTCCTCTATACGGTATACGGTGTTACCATGGACGTACTGCCATTACCGACAGAAGACATTATGGAGTTACTAGAGCTCTGCCTCACCTCGACTTACTTCCAATACAAAGGAACACACTACAAACAATTACATGGGACAGCAATGGGCTCGCCCGTTTCTGTTGTAGTTGCTGAAATTGTAATGCACTTGGTACACAGGACGTACGGTTGGCTTTGATAAAGGTGAGCTTTGCTATTAATATATTGTTATATTAATATTGTTTTAATATTATCCCCTGAAGAGTGAGAAATCACGAATCAGGCTTGTCGGGATGAAATTGTAGTTTTTGTGTATTTTTTTCTTCTTATCAATATTTACGCTCTACTCTTAAGCATCGAGCACTGTACTTACGGAGCTTCAAACAAACAAAACTTCCTATAGATATATATATATATATATATAGGTTTGAGCACTGTGGTGACCTTCATAGGTTTGAGCACTGTGGTGACTCTACAATACAATCCATACAATGTGTAACCGTACGTTCTGTATCCCAAGTGCAGGAGTCACAATTGTAATATGGTGATAGCCAGGTGGGCACATTGTATATAAACTTTGTATATATATATATATATTTGAAAATTGGTAACCCATGCATGTTATGATAATATTAAGGATTCTCTGGATTTTTTATTTTGAAATTTTTACTAAGCTTTCAACTCGGTGCTTCGAGCCTTCGTCAGAATGTAAGAATATATTATTTACAAAGATTTTGTATGCGTTTGGAGCGTCTGATTGGTTGGTTAGTAGTTGAGTTGATATTATTGGATGGTATAAGATGCGTTGTCATGGTTTCGGGTGTATGGATTGCGTTAATGAAATTCGAGTGTTTTATTTTAGTCGTTGTGTTATTAGTTTGTTGTTTTCGTTTAGTCTTTAGTTGTGAGTAGATGATGGGGATGTCAAGATGTCTGTTTATTGTGTTGTTGTCTTTGCTGTACCATGCCTCTTTGAATTCTCGTGCGTGTTTTGTCTATGCGTGTCCAAGAAGTTGTGTTTTTGTCCAGTCAAATGTGTGGTTGGTATCGTAGGTATGTTC